TGATCTTACAAAGTGATTACCAAAATTCTTTTCTTTAGATTCTCTGTTATACCAAACATATGCGTGCCATCCCACTCGCAAGTCAAAGCCCTCTAAATTTAGACACTGTTCTTTATCAAGTAACATCCATTCCTTAATCCAAAGAAGAGCGCAAGCTTTGTGATAAATTTTTAAGTCCGGGAAGTCCAGGCCTCCTCTTGTCTTACTGTCTATTAAGTTCAAGTATTTTATTCTTGGCCTTTTCCCGGCCCATACGAATTTTAATAGTTCTTTGTTCCATTTTTTAAAAAGAGATTGATTCCTAACAATAGGGATATTCTGAAATAAGAATAACATTCTAGGCAATATATTCATTTTGATCAGAGAAATTCTACCCAGTAGGGAAAGCTTTAAATTCCTCCATTTTTGAAGGTCCTTTTGAATCTTCGTCCAAGTCATTTCGTAATTATTCTTTAACAATTGATTATTTTTTGCTGTAATCCAAATTCCCAGATATTTTATCTTCTTTACTATCTCCAAACCTGTAACTTCTTGTATTTTTAATTGTTTCAACTCCCTCACATTCTTTGTTATAATTTTTGATTTTCCTTTATTCAGTTTAAGGCCTGCTACCTTCCCGTATTCATTGAGTTTTTTTAACCAGTGTTGAGTGTTCTTGACTGGGTCTTCTACAATACCTAACAAATCATCAGCGAAAGCTCTTATTTTGTATTCGTATTTTCCAACTTTTGCCCCCTTTATATTTTCATCCTCCTTTATTTCTCTCATCAATGGTTCTAAGGCCATTATAAAGATAAGTGGAGATAGGGGGCATCCTTGTCTAGTACCTTTAGTTATGGGAAATTCTTCCGTCGATTGTCCATTTATCCTTAGCTTTCCTTTTTGTGAGTTATATATTGCATTAATTGCATTATTAAAATTTGTTCCCATGTCCAATTCCTGAATCAATATTTTGAAGAAGTCCCAGTTTAGGTTATCAAAAGCTTTTTCTGCATCAATGAATAACATAGCAAATTCTTTTTGATGATTAAATTCATAATACTCCAATAAGTCTATAACTGTACGGACATTGTCCTTCATCGATCTCTTCGGGAGGAATCCTGCCTGTTCCTCCCCAATCCAATCATTTAAAAATTCTTTAAGCCTTGTTGCCAAAATATTTGCAAAAATCTTGTAGTCTACATTCAACAAGGAGATAGGCCTATAATTTTTGATCTCTATCTCCGGAGTGCCTTCTTTGTGAATCAAAACCACTTCCGCCTCATTCCATGTGTCTGGGATTTTTTGAAAGGACATTGCCTCATTTAGGACCCTTTTCATAATAGGTATTAAAGATTGCTTGAATACCTTATAAAAACCTGCTGAGTATCCATCTGGTCCTGGTGCCTTATCGGCATCCATTTTACTTATTGCCTGCTCAATCTCTTCAACCGTAATTTCTTTATTCAACTTCTCCCTAATTTCATCTGTGACCTTTTGGAATTTCCTTTTACCTATATATTTCATAATCTCTTCTTTGTCAATGTTTTCCTTAGCATACAGCTGTCCATAAAATTTCTTAAACTCCTCAATTATTTCATTATCCTTCGTTAACACCTTGTCTCCAATCTTTATTCTTGTAATTTGTTTAGTTTGTTTCTTCTTCCTTACTTGTCTTGCGAGCCATTTCCCTGATCTATTGGCATTCTCAAATGACTGTTGTTTCAAAAATTTTAATTGTCTGGCCTGATATTCAAGATCAAGCTCATCTCTTTCTTGCTTTAACCTTTTTAATTCCTTAATCAGAATTTTCTTATCCGGTTTTTTCTTCAATTCAGTTTCTTTAATTTCTATTTTTTCCACTATATCACTCATTTTTTTATTTCTCTCCTTGTTTTTCTTTGCCCCTTGCTGGATCAAGTGGCCTCTTAATACTGCTTTCAATGCATCCCACACAATTTGTGGGTTCATTTCTTCCGTATCATTAAAGTTTAAGTACTCCTGAATTAATTTTTTTATAAAATTCTCTATCTTCTTCTTTTTTGACTGAATTCTCATCAAATCTCCATTTCCTCTGTTGTTTTTTTATGATTTATTATTACTTCTATTGGGCAGTGATCAGATAAGTCTCTTGGGAGTATATTTATTTGTGAAATCTTGGTAGATAATTGCCTTGTAACCCATGCCATATCAATTCTTGACCAAGACTGGTGTCTAAATGAATAGAAGGTAAAGTCACGTTTCCCTTCGTTTCTACTTCTCCAAGTATCCTCTAATTCAAACTCCTTTTGGAGATCAAAAAATTTTTGGGGGAGCCTAGCATTGCCCCCTTTTCTTTTCTTTAAACTTTTGTCCTTTTGAATGTTCATTACCCCATTAAAATCCCCAATCATCATAAGTTCATCAAAATCCATTTCTTTAAGTTTTGAATTCAGGTAATCGGCAAAATTTGCCTTTGAGTCATTTGGTGCGTAAATATTAGAAATTAAATTTTTTACGTTTCCCATTGTGATTTTGACTGCCAAACATCTTCCCTCTGAGTCTTTAAATGCCAGTTCTGATGGTATGTTTTCTTTTACATATGTTACCACACCCCTTTTTTTCTTTTCACAGGATGAATAATATGTTTGTCCCAATTTTTTATTTGTTAGGTATGCTACGTGCTTGTGGGAAATATGTGTTTCCTGTAATGTTATAATATCATAGTTTAGTCTTCTTAATTTGTCAAATACCTTTTTGTGCTTCTGGTGAGAATTCAAACCATTGATGTTATTTGAAAAACATTTTATTTGCATTTCCTCCATTTTAATCATTCTTGTTCAAGTCCAGTCCCATATCTCCAATATCCAGTTGCGCCGATCCAATTGCCATTTCATCTAAACCACAAGCACCTTCACTTAACTCCTGGAGGGGTGTTATTCGACTTTCGTAGGTTTTAGAGGGGGATCCATAGCTTTTTGGCGAGAAACGTCTCGCTTTTTTAGGTTGATTACCTTGACTAGGAGTTACGTCTTTTCTTTCTCCTTTTCTATCTCTTTGTTGCTCTTCTTCTTGTTCTCCCATTAAACTTTCGTAGAAATTCTTCGCTTTTTGTTCTGATGTTAACCAGAATCTTTCTTCCTTATACGTCACCATCACCCCTTCAACTCTCTCCCATCTGAACCTGATTCCACGTTTCTTCAATTCATCAGTAAGAAAGTAGTATTTCCTTCTTCTGTTTAATGTTGCTTGGGGGAATTCTTTAAGTACTGCAATTTTCGTTTCTTTGTAAAAAATTGGGTCTCTATTACTCTTATATAAAACGTCATCTCTTATTGTTCGTCTAGAAAACTGTACAATTACATCTCTCGACGTCTTATTCTTCCTGGCATAGAGAGAGGAAATTCTGTAGATCTGGTCAACCTCTTGTTCAATCTCATCTTCTTCACACCTCAAGCTCTTTGCCAACAATTCACACATTATTTTTCTGATGTCTTCATTCTTTTCTTCTATAATATTTCGAAAACGCAATTGATAATCCATTTGTCTTTGGAGAGTTTTTTCCTGTTCCAATTCCAACTTTTCATTTCGTTTTTCCAGTCCCTTCATCTTTTTCAGGATCTGGGATTGGACTTCTTCATTCTTTTCCTTACTACTCTTCAGTTCTTTCACCTCCCCATCTAAATGAGTAATATCTTTTTTCATTTGTGCATATTCTTCTTTCATCTCTGTCTTAAGTTTCTTAAATTCTTCTGTCATAGCCTTATAATTTTCTTCTTGTTTTTTAAAATGTTCTTCTTGCTTATCTGTCATATCCTTCTTTAGAGCCTTTATTTCTTTAAGTATATTCTCCATTTTTGGGTTGATATCTAGTGATCCTCTTCTGGCGTAAGTACGTATATCTCTTTCTTTCTCTGTATTAGCCTTTGGAAAAAAAACCTCCAAAAAAAAAAACCTCCATTTGGAGGTTTTTTTTTAGCGTATTGCGCGGTCGCGTCCGCCATTAACGAATCGATTCGTAATTGTTTCGTAATTGTTTCGTATTGTTTTGTAATTTACGAAATTTCGTAAATATCGAACTTTTTAAAAGAAAAATTTCGGAATTCTTTTAAAAATCGAAACGCAAAAACCCCCCAAAAAACGAATCGATTTAGAAACAAATTTTTCCGTGGTTGCCCAGCCCTAATATTCACAGATAACTGAGCATAGCCTCCAAGATGCCGAAGATGAGAAACGCCTATATTTAGGCCTGGGTAACAACGGAAAAATTTGTTTCTAAAATCGATTTGTATTTGGGGGTTTTTTTTTGTTTCGATATTTAAAATAATTAAAAAATTTTCCTTTTAAAAAGTTCGATATTTACGAAATTTCGTAAATGGTAAAAAAAATTAACGAATCGATTTCCGAAACAATAACGAATCGATTCGTTAATGGCGGACGCGACCGCGAAATACGCTAAAAAACCTCCAAAACCTTCTGAAGCTTCCCTCTCCCTCTGTTGTTGACTGTTGGTGTGATATTATGATTTTTTTTCACTAATTAAACCATAAAACTGGCCCAGACATGCGGAAATAATAACGAAACGACCTCAAAACAATAACGAAACGAATACAATATCGAAATACGAAGCATTTACAAAACGTTTTTGAAAATTCGTTTTTTTTATAATTGCTCCAGAATGGTTCGTTATCGTTTTGTAATTGAAAAAATTAACGAATTATTAACGAATTACGAATTAACGAAACGAAACCGCCCAGCCCTAATATATATATATATATATATATATATATATATATATCCTTGATAAAATGTACAAAGATCTAACATGGGAAGGGGATTCTTTCATTCTGTTAGTCCTGCTAAGGTGGCCAAGAGTTAACCCACTTTATACCATTTCAGTCTGATGTCCTTGGCAAGCTATAGGTCCCTAACTATGTCCTCTTTTATTGAAGGGTAGTGGTGTTTGATAACGGAGCGACCATGGCTAAAAGCACCCAGGACAGGGCTTCCTTCCATCCAACCCTTTCTTTGTTTCTTTCCAGATTCCTTTGTCATGGCAGCAGTACTGGATCGGGCTTAAAAAAGAAAACAAAGTGATCGTCTGGGGCCCCTGGGCCTGGATTGACAATTCCCCTTTCTCTTGGTAAGTGGGATTCTGCAGGGCCCTTTGGGGTGCCCCCCACCCCATCTCAGGAGGATCCATTCAAGGCCAAAGAAGGAGGGCAACTGGCAAAGGACCAGCTGTGGCCACCAGGGAACCAGCACCCTGAACAGTGGGTCAGCCCTAGAGCCTGGCGGTCAATACGGCCCCACTGCCTTGGCTCAGGCCCGTAGCCAGGATTTCGTTTCGGGGGGGGGGGCTGAGTCTGAGTGAAAGAGGGTCTAGCCTAGCAAACCTTTTGTATCATTACCCCAATACGCCCATGCATATGGGATATATTGAGAATGGTGATCAGATCATGATATGAATAAACATAACAGTTTAAATATTGCACCATTAAGGCCTTTTCGCGAACCACCATGAAAATTTCAGGGGGGGGGCTGAAGCCCCCCGAGCCCCCCCCCCCCGGCTACATGCCTGCCTTGGCTGCTTCTGTGCCTTTCCAGGGCTTATGAAGAATCACTTTTGTGAGTTCCTGGGTACTTGCCATTAAAAAGACACAACACTGCGTTCTAAGGAGAAGTCAGCAAAATTGTAGGTAAAAGTATGATAGCTGGGACCCAGTGCTGGTAGCGCTACGCTGGTAGCGTAACACGGCTCTGAATTAGGCAGGATCATCAAGCCTGCAGACAACATCAAACTGGGAGGGAGAGCCAAGACTCCAGAGGACAGGGGCAGGATTCAAAACGATCTTGACAGATTAGAGAGATGAAAGGCCAAAACTAACAAAATGAAGTTCAACAGGGACAAATGCAAGAGACTCCACTTTGGCAGAAAAAACGAAATGCAAAGATACAAAATGGGGGACAATGCCTGGCTCAAGAGCAGAACGTGTGAAAAACATCTTGGAGTTTAACAACAAGTTAAACATGAGCCAGGAATGTGATGTGGCAGCAAAAAAAGCCAATGGGATTTTGTCCTGCATCCAGAGGAGCCTAGTGTCTAGATCCAGGGAAGTCATGCTCCCCATGCTCTATTCTGCCTTGGTTAGACCACACCTGGAATATTGTGTCTAATTCTGGGCACCACAACTGAAGAGAGATGTTGACTCTAAACTGGAATGTGTCCAGAGGAGGGCAACTAAAATGATCAAGGGTCTGGAGAACAAGCCCTATGAGGAGCGGCTTAAGGAGCTGGGCATGTTTAGCCTGAAGAAGAGAAGGCTGAGAGGACATGATAGCCATGTATAAATATGTGAGAGGAAGTCACAGGGAGGAGGGAGCAAGCTTGTTTTCTGCTGCCCTGGAGACTAGGACGTGGAACAATGGCTTCAAACTACAAGAAAGGAGATTCCACCTGAACATGAGGAAGAACTTCCTGACTGTGAGAGCTGTTCAAGCAGTGGAACTCTCTGCCCTGGAGTGTGGTGGAGGCTCCTTCTTTGGAAGCTTTTAAACAGAGGCTGGATGGCCATCTGTCAGGGGTGATTTGAATGCAATATTCCTGCTTCTTGGCAGAATGGGGTTGGACTGTCGCTTGATGCTCAGGTGTCAGCGGTGGCCGGGAGGGCCTTTGCACAACTCAAACTTGTGCGCCAGCTGTGACCATACCTTGTGAAGTCTGATTTGGCCGGTATGGTCCACGTGTTGGTTACATCCAAACTGGACTATTGCAATGCACTCTACATGGGGCTGCCCTTGAAGATGGCCCGGAAGTTTGAACTGGTACAACGGGCGGCAGCCAGGCTCCTTACTGGAGCAAACTATAGGGAGCATACAACACCCCTATTAAAACAGCTTCATTGGCTGCTGATAAGTTGCCGAGCCAAATTCAAGGTGCAGGTCATGACCTATAAAGCCCTAAACGGTTCGGGCCCCGCCTATCTCCGCGATCCCATCTCCTTCTATGAACTGGCACGAGCTCTAAGATCTTCCGGGGAGGCCCTCCTCTCGGTCCCACCTCCGTCTCAAGCGCAGTTGGTGAGGACAAGAGAGAGGGCCTTCTCGGTGGTGGCCCCTCTCGCCTCTGGAACGCCCTTCCAAGGGAAATAAGACAGGCCCCATCCCTCCCCTCCTTTCGTAAGAGCTTGAAGACCTGGTGGTTTCAACAAGCCTTTGAAAATGACCAGTTCTAACTCAGCCCCACACATTGTCGAATACGGCCTTATTCTTCCTACCAATTGCCCAGATCATTTCCTCTAATCAGCCCCGGAATGGACAGCCACAGACCCGTACCTAATATGATTGTTGCCTGCCATTGCATTGCACTTAATTCCTGCCCCCCCTAGAATTTTGGGGCTTGCACAAATCTTGGCCCGGCCTTTTAAATTTTTAAATTGCCTTGAACAGGCAGGATTACTTTCAATATATTTGTGTTATGGCCAGAGGCGGCCCTAGATAATTTTCAACGGTAAGCAAACAGTATTTTGCCCCCCCCCCAACCAATCATTGATATATATTTTCTGTTCGTCGTGGGAGTTCTGTGTGCCATATTTGGTTCAATTCCATCATTGGTGGAGTTCAGAATGCTCTTTGATTGTAGGTGAACTATACATCCCAGCAACTACACTTGCCGCACTTGCTCCCTTGCCTGGCCCGCTTTGGGTCCGGAGGCGTGCCTGAAGACCCCGGCATGTGCACCAAAAGTCACCTCTTCTCCTGACTTTCTCCTCAGCCATTGGGACCAAGAGAGAGAGAGAGAGAGAGAGAGGTGGAGATGCCCACCTTTCCTGAAGGTAGGCGCAAAAACAAAGGAGGGAGCGGAGGTGGGAGATACCTCCAGCCGGAGGGCTCTCTCTCTCTCTCTCTCTCTCTTGGTCCCAATGGCTGAAGAGAAAGTCAGGAGAAGAGGCGACTTTTGGTGCACACGCTGGGGTCTTCAGACACGCCTCCGGACCCGAAGCGGGCCAGGCGCGGCGGCTCCGCCCCTTGGCCCACTTGCGGATTGGGGAGAGGAGGCGGGTGGAGCACTGGGGGATCGGGAAAGGGAGCCGGTCATAGGGAAGGGATTGAACGCGGAGAACGATTGAGCGCCGGCTCTGCTCGCGCACCCGGTGGCTGGGTGGAGCAGGAACGAGAGGGGCTAGGCGAGGCTCAAGGGCCCGGCCCCTTTGGGAAGAGGATCGCCCGGCAGCGAGGCAAGAAAGCCGAGGCTCCCCCCGGACTGCTAGGGCTGTTGTGAGCTGAGGGGGCGCTCCTCAAGTGGCGGTCGAGGGGCATTTACAGAGGCACCTCTGCACCCCTGGCAAAAAAAAGTGTTCTGCGACCGCTTACTTCGCGTAATGGACGAGCCACCCCTGGTTATGGCGACCATTTTTATGCTTATATTTTGTTTTTGTTAATCTTATGGTTATGTTGTTTATTACTTTGTATGTTTTGTGATGTTACCTGGGAACCACTCTGAGTCCCCTCGGGGAGATGGAGCAGTATATAAATAAAGTATTATTATTATTATTATTATTATTATTATTATTATTATTTATAAAGCACTGTGCCAAGATGGCACGGAACTGTAACAAGCCATCATGTTGAGGTTGCTCAGTGTTTAAATATCTCTACTATACAATAGTTCAATCTGCTGAAAATGCTAAGGGGTGGGTGCAAGTAACAGTGGAGCGTCACACCAGACTTATTTGCATGATGGGTTTTATAGATTATAATCAGATATGTCCATAAATCGGAGGTCTTTTGGAAAAAAGTCATTATTTGTGCAGGTGGGTCGAGGAAGCTGTTCTGTAAAAGTCATTTCTGATGGGCTGGGATGTAACTTCTCTCTCTCTCTCTCTCTGGCCATTGGTTAGCTGTGGGTTACCAACCCTCTGTTCCAGCAGATTAGATCAGCAGTCCTGCAACGAGAGCAAAAGACCCAAAACAAAACAAAACCAAACCCTGGTGTCAGGGCTCGGTTTCCTGGCCTTGGACATTGGCGCAAAAAACCAGAATCCTGACATGGAGAGCCGATAAGAGTATGCAGCTGGTGGCCTTGGGAGGAGCAGTTGGTGGTTGGCGGGGAACATTGAGCGGGAACTACAATCGGCGGGAAAAAGGGATTCGAATACGGGGGAGGGTATATAAGGGTTGACTCGAGACGGTGTGCCAATCCTGGCTTTCGTTGTGTATGCATATCCAGTAGTAAAAGTTTCCTGATTGATTACGGATCGGCATCCTGTGTCATTTTTGGAGCGGCTGCTGGGAGCTCACATTAAGCCAGGATTTGCAGTGCCATCCCACGGCTGTGGTGAGGCACCCCCATGCAGGGAGAGGAGGATCTGACAGAGAATCCAACGGGAGGGAGAGAACCAGACTCCCCTTTCGAGAATGCGGAAGAAGAGCTGGAGAGGGTGAATGCATTGGCTTCATCGACTGCATATGCCCAGCCCAACGGAGTCACCCAGAGACGAGTGAAGGGGGCAGCGGCGGCAGCGCGAGAAAGCAGTGGGCTGGACTTTCCCTCCCCACAAAGATTGGACTATCTGGAGGAGAAACTGGCTTCCATGGAAACCACCCTCGCAATGATGTCGAGGGTGATGGAGAGATTGGCCCCGTTGTTAGAGGAGCCACCACCCCGAGGAGACTCGATGTGCAGCGCGGGGAGAGGAGTGGCCGGGAACCCGGGGCACGATCCAAAACGCAGGCGGAGTGGAGAGCCGTGGCGGAGAGTGACGAGGAGGAGGAGCAACCGCGGGGATTGGCGGCGACGTCCCAGCAGACATCCCTGGTGCCCCCGGCCGGGGCCGGGCGTGGCACAGGGCGACGTGAATTGCCACCAGAACAACACGGACTCCCAAGAGGGCCACCCCGAGCGGAGAACCGGGAGAGGCAACCCCTTGCTTACCAACCCAGGAGGGAGGAGCTAAGGATTGAATTTGGAGGAGAAGCCGGGAGCCTCGCATACTTCCTGACCATGGTGAGAGGGTACCTGGAGGATAACGCCCTTACCTTCGGATCGGAAGCAAGCCGAGTGCGGGCGGTGGGTGCAGCGCTGAGAGGAGGAGCGGCGGAATGGTATGTCCAGCTCCACGCCAGGCATGACCCATGTTTGCATTCTATGAGGCGATTCCTGGCTGCAATGGAGGCGCGCTTCAGGGATCCGCTCGAGAGGGTCCGGGCGAGGGAAGAGCTGCAAACAGTAACACAGGGCCATCGCTCCGTGTCCGAATATGTAGAGGAGTTCCAGTTGAGGGCCGAAAAGGTGCCGGAATGGTCCAACACCACTAAGGTCCAGATATTCAAAGAGGGCCTGCGGAGGGAAATCCTGACCAGGGCACTTCATCGCGACAATCCAGAGGAGATAGGCGGATGGATCGAGCTGGCGGGCCGCATCGAAACCACGTTGGCCCAGATCAAGAGATGTCAAGGAGCGGCGCCGCAGCAGACGAGAGCAAAGGAGGAGAGTCGGAGGACGGAGAGAAGCACGATGGGGAAGGGCCCCGCCGGAGGACCCAAGGAGCAGAGGGGCGGCTGTTTTGTATGCGGTCGCCTTGGCCATCGGGCGGCCGGATGTCGACAAAGGAGAGGGGGAGATCCCCATTTCCAAAATTTTAAACCGGCCACGGGGAAGAAAGCAGAAGAGAGCCCCCCTAGTAGGGCCCCGGTGGGAGATCTGGGGAGTCACAACCCAGGAATGCTGGTGTTCCCAATCAGGCTAGAAGGGGAGGGGAAATGGGCCAGCTGCAAAGCCCTCATGGATTGCGGCTGCTCCAGAAACATTATGACCCCAGAATTAGCAGATGAACTGAACTATAAGAAAACCCCTTTGCAAAATCCCATAGCATTTTCGCAGCTGGATGGTTCAGTAGCAACCGGAGCCCCAGCGCGATTCGAAGTAGGGGAGGTGAGATGCAAAGTGGGGAGCTGGGAAGGCAACATAACCTTCGTGGTATCCCCTATGGCTACTTATAATGTAATACTGGGGATGCCGTGGTTGAAGGAAGCAAACCCACAGATCAATTGGAAGGAGGGCAGCATAACCTTCCAGAGCGAAGAGAGGGGGGAGTGTTGCAGGGGGGAGGAAGGCACGGCAAGCGGAGCGCAGGAAATTCCCCCTGAGTATAGAGACTTTGAAGATGTGTTTGACGAAAAGGAGGCAGATCAGCTTCCCCCACCCAGAAGGGTCGAGGTAAAAATCGAACTCAATGAGGATGCCAAGTTGCCCAGGAGTAGATTATACCCCATGTCGGTCAAGGAGATGGAGGAACTGAGAAAATATGTTGACAAAAACTTGGCCCGAGGGTTCATAAGGCCATCCGAATCACCGTTGGGGGCCCCAGTGTTATTTAGACACAAAAAGGACTGCTCATTGAGGCTGTGCGTGGACTACAGGGGACTGAACGCGGTGAGCACAACCAACAACTACCCAATGCCACTGACCAAGGACTTGCTGTCGAGACTGTCAGAGGCAAGGGTGTTCACAAAAATTGACTTGATTGAGGCTTATCACAAGCTACGAATAAGACCCGAGGACAGGTGGAAAACGGCGTTTACCTGTGCGCTCGGCCATTTTGAATATTCTGTCTGCCCTTTTGTACTTAAAGGCTCTGGATCGGCATTTATGCAAATGATCAATGAGGTTTTGCACCTATTGTTGTATCGCGGGGTTTATTGCTTTGTGGATGATGTAATCGTGTTTAGCCGGGATAAACGATCTCATATTAGGTTGGTGAGGGAGGTGCTCCAGAAATTGAGGGAGGCAAAATTGTTCGCAAAGCTGGCAAAGTGTGAGTTCAATAAGGAGCAGATAGATTTCCTGGGGTACCGAATCTCCAAGGGCGGGATAGCAATGGATCCGTCAAAGGTAGAGGATGTCAGGGAGTGGAGCCATCCCCAAACACGCAAACAATTGCAATCCTTCCTCGGATTTGCAAATTTCTACCGAGGGTTCATAGAGGATTTTGCTCAAGTGACTATACCCTTAACCGAACTGCTAAAGACCAAGGGAAAGGGGGAAACGGTGAAGGTACGATCCCCGGGGGCAAAATTAAATTGGTCACCAGAGTGCCAGAAGGCATTTGAGGAACTGAAACGCAGGTTCACAGAGGAACCGGTCCTAAGCCACCCTGATCTGAGTAAGCCGTTCGTGATCCACTGTGACGCGTCAGATTGGGCATATGGGGCAGCCTTGATGCAGAGAGATGGGGAGGGGAGGTTGAAACCCTGCGGGTTCATCTCAAAGAAATTTAGCGAAACTGAACGGAACTGGCCAGTATGGGAAAAGGAAGCCTTGTCGATCTTGAGGGCCCTGGAGACATGGAGACACTTGTTGGAGGGAAGCGGCATACCCTTTGAGGTATGGACCGACCATAAAAATTTACAATATATCACTTCACCCAGAAAACTATCGGCAAAACAGATAAGATGGGGGCAGTTCTTCAGCAGGTTTGATTTTAAGCTAAGGTTCCAAAAAGGGAAGCAAAATGTAGTCGCAGATGCACTGTCAAGATTGCCGGAGAAGGAAGGGAGGGGGCAAGGCCCAAAGGGGAGCATATTTTCGGAACAACAGTGGGGCATGGCAGTGCAAACTCGAGCACAGACAGAGCGCAGCCAAAGGCTGGTAGGAGTTGAGAGCAAAGACGGGGGATGGGAAGAGGAGTTGAGGCAAGCATGCAAGGAGGATGAGTGGTTGGAGAGAAATAAGGAAAAGGTGGAATGGAAGGACGGATTGGGGTTTGTAAACAGGAAATTATACATCCCAGGCACCCTAAGAGAAAAAATGTTAATTAGGTGTCATGGCAGCAAGGGAGCAGGGCACTGGGGGATGACAAAAACCCTAAAAATGTTGGCACGCCAATGTTGGTGACTCGGGATGAGGGGTGACACTAAATTGTATGTATCCCGATGTAATGCGTGTGCACAAAATAAGGCAACCACACAGAAGCCAACGGGGTTATTACAAAAGGTGGCAGAGCCATCACAACCCTGGAGGGTAATTGCTATGGACTTCGTGGGCGAACTTCCAATTAGCCGGGGCCAACGGTACATATGGACAGTAATGGACTTGTTCTCAAAGCAGGCACATTTCATAGCACTGCCTAAGTTGCCATCTGCAGAAAAGTTGGCTGAGTTGTTTATCAAACATAGATATCGGCTGCATGGCTGCCCTGAACAGGTGATCAGTGATCGAGGGGTGCAATTTACGGCCCGATTCTGGGAAAGTTTCATGCAATTGATGGGGGCAGAAAGAACATTGAGTTCGGCATTCCATCCCATGACCAATGGGGGAGTCGAGCGCACACAACAGACTTTGGGGTTATTCCTAAGGACATACACAAACCATTGCCAAACCAATTGGGCTGACTTACTTCCGTTTGCAGAAATCGCATACAATGGAGCCTGTCACGCATCCACGGGAAAATCCCCTTTTGAGATAGTATACGGCATGGAAGTAACCCCTTTGCCTAAGTTGCCGAGCTGGGGGGAGGAGCCATGGGGAAAGGAAGGGTGGCCAGATAAAGTGAAAGCGAATTGGGAAGAAGTGACGAATTCGCTCCGAGAAGCTCAACGAAGGTATAAATTATTTGCAGATAGGAAAAGCAGGGAGGGTGATAAGTTGGAAGAAGGGGAACTGGTGTGGCTGAGCACCAAAAACCTCAAGTTGAACACTCCCTCCCGAAAATTATCTCCTAAATACATCGGTCCGTTCAGGATTTCCAACAAGATAAATGATGTGACATATACGTTGAAACTGCCAAGGGTTTTGGGGAAGGTACACCCAACATTCCATTGTAGCCTATTAAAGAAATACCAAGGCCCCCTGGATAAAGAAGGGACATGATGTTATTGTATACTTCCCTTCCAGGAAGAAGAGGAGGAGGAGGGGGACGTCATGTCAGGGCTCGGTTTCCTGGCCTTGGACATTGGCGCAAAAAACCAGAATCCTGACATGGAGAGCCGATAAGAGTATGCAGCTGGTGGCCTTGGGAGGAGCAGTTGGTGGTTGGCGGGGAACATTGAGCGGGAACTACGATCGGCGGGGAAAAGGGATTCGAATACGGGGGAGGGTATATAAGGGTTGACTCGAGACGGTGTGCCAATCCTGGCTTTCGTTGTGTATGCATATCCAGTAGTAAAAGTTTCCTGATTGATTACGGATCGGCATCCTGTGTCATTTTTGGAGCGGCTGCTGGGAGCTCACACCCTGGGATGGCATTAACAGACAGGCAAATTTAATTTTATTCCCTCCCTCCCTTCCCCCTTTTGTCTTTCCAGGGACCTTGGAGAATGCAACAATAATGGCTACTGTGGGCGACTGAGGCAGGGGTCCCTCCTGCAATGCAGCTGTGGAGGGAAGTCCAGGTACATCTGTGAGCAGCCCGCCCTCCCCATGCAGGTGGCCTAGGCTCCTTGATTCATAACCACAAAGGCCCAAGACGTCCTGGGAGTGCAACAGCCACGCAGAAGAAGAATCAGAAGAGAAGAGGATGGTCTTTCCCAGCCGCCCCCAGCTCTTCTGAACAGGGCTTCGTAGACCTGTCATGATACCCTGCTATAGTGCTGTGGCTCCGCTTTAATTGCCGTGGCAACATCCTGAGGAATGGTGGGATCGGCAGTTCCAAGAGGGGCGTTGAGCACCTTCAGCCGGAGATTTCGTCCAAGGCCCAGAACCCTGCAGGGATCAACTGAGAAGAGATGTTAGTCTGGGATCATTGTGCTCTAGCAGAGTGGTATCAAGAAATTCGACTCCCCAATTACGAGTTATGAGATGTATTGTCGAAGGCTTTCTTGGCCGGAATCACTGGGTTGTTGTAGGTTTTTTCGGGCTATATGGCCATGGTCTAGAGGCATTCTCTCCTGACGTTTCGCCTGCATCTATGGCAAGCATCCTCAGAGGTAGTGAGGTCTGTTGGAAATGGGACAATGGGTTTATATATCTGTGGAATGACCAGGGTGGGACAAAGGACTTTTGTCTGCTGGAACTAGGTGTGAATGTTTCAACTGACCACCTTGATTAGCATATAATGGCCTGGCAGTGCCTGGAGCAAACTTTTGTTGAGAGGTGATTAGATGTCCTTGTTTGTTTCCCCTCTGTTGTTTTGCTGTTGCAATTTTAGAGTTTTTTTTAATACTGGGAGCCAGATTTTGTTCATTTTCATGGTTTCCTCCTTTTTGTTGACATTGTCCACATGCTTCTTGTGGATTTCAATGGCTTCTCTGTGTAATCTGACGGTTGTGAGAGTGGTCCAGCATTTCTGTGTTCTCCAATAATAATCTGCTGTGTCCAGGTTGGTTCCTCAGGTGCTCTGCTATGGCTGATTTCTCTGGTTGAAAGTATCTGCAGTGCCTTTCGTGTTCCTTGATTTGTGGTTGGGCAATGCTGCTGCGTTTGGTGGTCCCTCTGGAGACTTCTTGTCCACAGCTGCATGGTACACGGTAGACTCCTGCAGAAGCTAGAGGATCCCTCTTGTCCTTTGCTGAACGGAGCATTCCTTGGATTTTCTTTGTGGGTCTGGAGATAGTTTGCAGGTTGTGTTTCCTCATCAGCTTCCTTCTGTGGTCAGAGGTTCCCTTGATGTCTGGCAAGAACCCTTTTCCTCTGAGAACACGATGCCAGGCCATTATATGCTAATCAAGGTGGTCAGTTGAAACATTCACACCTAGCTCCAGCAGACAACAGTCCTTTGTCCCACCCTGGTCATTCCACATATATAGAAACCCAATTTTCCTAGTTCCAACAGACTTCACGACCTCTGAGGATGCTTGCCATTGATGCAGGTGAAACGTCAGGAGAGAATGCCTCTAGAACATGGCCATATAGCCCGAAAAAAACCTACAACAACCGAGTTATGAGATGTTGCTCCATTGGGACACACGACATGCCCACATTGCCTTTTCCATTTTTCCTGCAGTAACCTTTAGTGAATGTCATTAGAACGCTGTCCCACCATACCTTGGACTCCGGAAACAATGCCTCAAATTACCATACACCTAACAATGGAGCCATTACCTCAAACCCACCCACATTCATTCCTTTGCACACCCATGAGGGGCGGAAGCAGCCACAGCCACAAAACTTCAAACTGAGCAATGACCATTTATTAAATTTCCCTTCAGACCTAGAGACCAATTGGCACCACCTGCAGATCCTTGCCTGCCACCATTTGGACCCATTGACACTCAGGGCAGCAGACGTCCTTTGTTTCAAACTGCAGTCACAGTTCTGTCAAGATTTCTGAATGTTTGCATTGAGGGATGTCAGTTCTTTGGAGAGGAGGGAGGCGGGGACTCCTCTGACATCCTCTCTGGCCAAGAGAAGAAATGCCTCGGATTTTGCCCTCAACCCAGGGGGAGAAGGAGGGAGTGCTGTAACACCTTACCCTTAGAGGGACCCCAACCCTTAGAGGACAAAAGCAAGCAAAGGCCATGACCCTCGCTGATGGAATCCTGGGAGTTATCATTTGCAAGGCTCCTGCACTCTTGGGTAGAGAATGCTTGTCAAACCACATCTCCCAGGATTCCATAGCATTGTGCCATGGTTTGGTTAGACCACACCTGGAATATTGTGTCCAATTCTGGGCACCACAATTGAGGAGAGAGATTGACAAGCTGGAATGTGTCCAGAGGAGGGCAACTCAAATGATCAAGGGTCTGGAGAACAAGCCCTATGAGGAGCGGCTTAAGGAGCTGGGCGTGTTTAGCCTGAAGAAGAGAAGGCTGAGAGGAGACATTATGAGGGCCATGTATACATATGTGAGAGGAAGCCACAGGGAGGAGGAGGAGGGAGCAAGCTTGTTTTCTGCTTCCCTGGAGACTAGGACGCAATGGAACAATGGCTTCAAACTACAAGAGAGGAGATTCCATCTGAACATGAGGAAGAACTTCCTGACTGTGAGAGCCGTTCAGCAGTGGAACTCTCTGCCCCGGAGTGTGGTGGAGGCTCCTTCTTTGGAAGCTTTTAAACAGAGGCTGGATGGCCATCTGTCAGGGGTGCTTTAAATGCAATATTCCTGCTTCTTGGCAGAATGGGGTTGGACTGGATGACGGCCGAGGAGGTCTCTTCCAACTCTAGGATTCTATGATTCTATGGCAGCTAAAGTGGGGCAAACTGCACTCATTCTGCAGTGTAGATGCACACCTTGACTATGAGCTTCTACGAAGAGGTGGAGAGTGTTGTGGTAAGTCATACCAGGACCAAGTTTGTGTGTGTGTGACGAAAAACCTTGTGGTGTTAATAATCTTATACAGCTGGGAAAGTAGGTCAACCAGCAAGACTGAACCACACCCAGTGGTGTATATCTGTATGGGTTTTTACAGTGTGGGTGTTGGTGGGTTTGAGTAGTGGAGAGCTGGTGGATGCTGGAGAAGCTACTCTGAAGGAGGCTATGGTGAAATAGCGATTTATCCAAGGTTTATTTTTCCTCTCTATTGTGCTGTAAGGTGAAGATGCCTCATTTTGGGGACTATGTAAGTTTGATTTTTGTGTGCAAGTTTATATCTCTGCTAAGTAAAGAGTAAAGATTTTTCTGTTTCATTTTTACTCTGGTCTGTGAGTCTTTCTGCATTTGGGCCTTGGGCAAAATTCACTGCTGCGCAACACTCTCGGGCAGAGAAAGCTTGTCAAACCACATCTCCCAGGGTTCCACAGCATTGAGCCATGGCACCTAAAGTGGGGCAAACTGTACTCATTCTGCAGTGTAGATAAACACCTTGACTATGAGCTTCTACACAGAGGTGGAGAAGAGGTTCCTAAAACCTCCTATTATTTACTGAATTATTGGGAGAACTCTACAATCACTTCCATGCCTTCCAGGCCCTCAAGGAAAAGTGCAAGAAAACAGATCTCTTACAAACATTCTTTGGCGGCAGCAGGGGCGGCTCGTCCATTACGCGAAGTAAGCGGTCGCAGAACACTTTTTTTTGCCAGGGGCGCAGAGGCGCCTCTGTAAATGCCCCTCGACCGCCACTTGAGGAGCGCCCCCTCAGCTCACAACAGCCCTAGCAGTCCGGGGGGAGCCTCGGCTTTCTTGCCTCGCTGCTGGGCAATCCTCTTCCCAAAGGGGCCGGGCCCTTGAGCCTCGCCTAGCCCCTCTCGTTCTTGCTCCACCCGGCCTCCAGGTGCGCGAGCAGAGCCGGCGCTCAATCGTTCTCTGCATTCAATCCCTTCCCCATGGCTGGCTCCCTTTCCCGATCCCACGATGCTCCACCCGCCTCCTCTCCTCTCCCCAATCTGCGGGTGGGCCAAGGGGCGGAGCCGCCGCGCCTGGTCCGCTTCGGGCCCGGAGGCGTGTCGGAAGACCCCAGCGTGCGCACCAAAAGTCGCCTCTTCTCCTGACTTTCTCTTCAGCCATTGGGACCAAGAGAGAGAGAGAGAGAGAGAGCCCCTCTGGCTGGAGGTATCTCCCACCTCCGCTCCCTCCTTTGTTTTTGCGCCTACCTTCAGGAAAGGTCGGCATCTCCACCTCTCTCTCTCTCTCTCTCTCTCTCTCTCTCTCTCTCCTGGTCCCAATGGCTGAGGAGAAAGTCAGGAGAAGAGGTGACTTTTGGTGCACACGCCGGGGTCTTCAGGCATGCCTCCGGACCCAAAGCGGGCCAGGCAAGGGAGCAAGTGCGGCAAGTGTAGTTACTGGGATGTATAGTTCACCTACAATCAAAGAGCATTCTGAACTCCACCAATGATGGAATTGAACCAAATATGGCACACAGAACTCCCACGACAAACAGAAAATATATATCAATGATTGGTTGGGGGGGGGCACCAAAATACTGTTCGCTTACTATTGAAAATTACCTAGGCCCCCTCTGGGTGCCTTTCAATTCTGCAGTTCTAGTCTGATGGAGAGAAAACAAAACCTCATACCAGCTTTGGAGATGGCAAGTTCACTTTCTCTTTCGGAGTGGAGGCTGTGAGTGTGCAGAGTGTGTGTGCTTGGCTGGCTCCACTTCTGCTTTGCATTGCCAGTCTGAACCAGCACAAGGCGTATGCCAGTTGCAGGGCTGGGGTCTGTCCTCTGATGTTGCCCCACAAGACCCCCTCCTGCCCTCTGTCCGGCCGGCGATGGCTGAAGGGGTGACCTATGCTGACCTGAGGTTTGTGAAGAACCCTCCTGGGAACAAGACCCCAAGGGAAGGTAGGCATCCGGCAGAACCAGGCCCCAGGAAGGCAGGGGTCTCTCTCTCTCTCTTTCTCACCCCCCAGTGCCTCCCATTCCCATTTCTCCCTTTCCAGGGCATGGAGCCGAAGAAGGGGAGCTCACCTATGAGAACGTCCAGGGGTCGAGTCCAGGGGGGAAAGAGGAGACCCCAGGCACCCCCAAAGAGGACACAGGTGAGCCCCTGGGGACCCCACGCCCATCTCCGTTTTCCCCGTTTCCCCCACTTCTTCCTTAAAGTCAGATGGGAATAAAGCCTAGCCAGATGGATCCCATACATTAACTCACCTGGGGGTCAGCTTGGCATCCCAGACCCCTGTATGTTCCCTAGGTATGTCTCCCATATACTGCTTTTAGGAAGGCCACGGACTTTGTAAAAAAAACTATTTCATTGTTGGGTTGTTTCCAGTAGCATTCTCATCTGACTTTTCGCCTGCGCCTGTGGCTACTGTCATGCTCAGAGGTTCTGTTGGCAGTGAAGCAAGTTGAGTGTATGTATGAATGTCAGCGTAGGTCACACACACACACACACACACACACACACACATATACACACATATCCCTGTGGAATAATGTCCAGGGTGGGAGAAAGGACCCATGTCTGTTTGAAACAAGTGTGAATGTTGCCATTAGCAATTTTGAATAGCATTGAGTAGCCGTAAAGCTGCAAAGTCAATCAGTGAGGGTATCTACAAAGAGGTAGCCTGGCCTTTATTGCCTGGAGGCACCCTCTGTTTGGGAGGTGTTCACTGGCACTTGATTATTTGCTGTCTGGAGTTCCCCTGTTTCTGAGTTTACTGTCGTGATTCTGGTGGTTTTTTAATCCTTGTAACCAGATTTTGTTCATTTCCATGGTTTCCTCCTTTATTTAGTTGTTCCCTGAATTGTGTCTCGGTAGGGACCGCATTTAAAATGTTTTGTGTGCACGGGGTTATGGTGTCCCATTAGGAAGTTGACAGCATTGTGTTCAAGGGAAGTTGAAAGAGAAAGGCAAGAAACAAGTGGACAGGCAAGCTACATGCTCACCCGTAGGCATTTGGGGTGTTTTATGTTTGTATGTGAAGTCGAACATAACCCCCCGCCCAATAAGAGAGAGCAACCTATAGTTTTGCTAAGGGCAAGGACGCCAGGCTGGATAATAAGGGTTAAGCCTTGGTCAGTTTGGTGTGTATCATTTAATCAAGGCTTTATGCCCTATTTTCATATGTTTACAGCCACAAAAGTATTTGACTTTTTCCATCTGAGATACACTTGGGCTCCTGATGGTCCCCATCTCACAAACAAGGGAGTCTCTTTCCCCCTCATGGATATATTTCCCTTTATGGACACTGGGGGAGGGTAGTTTACTCTCTGTATTATGATTTCTATATTTTCATATTTTCTCCTGTATTTCTATATTTCCCCCTCATGTATCTGACCTTGCCCCGACCCTTTTGCCCCCTTCCCCTCTCCTTGAGGAAAATGTATAAGGAAGTTGCCCAGCCTCTGGAAAAGGCAATTAGCCATGGCGAAGACCCTTACCTTGGAACATTTCTTGCATGGAAAATAACAAAGATGTATCTTTCTTGACTTCGGAGTTGGGCCATCAAGAGGATGTTCGCTTGGCAGACTTTTTAATCATATAACAATGGGGGGGGGGGGGAATGACCTTTGGAAAGCTCTTTTTCCCCCAACCTGTTTTTTTTTCTTTCAAATCTTTCCACTGAAGACATTCACCAAAGTCTCCCCCTTTGTGCCCTATCTGATCACAAGAGGATTAAGTGATCAATGCTTATCTCAGACCCATCACAAGACAATAAGACTGGCTTTGCTGGCAGGCCAGTTTCAGACTCGTTAAGCCTCCTGGACATTAAACTCCATAATCCACTCAAGAATGCATTGTATCCCGCTTCCCTCTCATCTGATTCGCTGGAGCACCGAGGCGGCAGGAGCCTCCTGATTGGCTCAGGCGCTCCTTGGAAGCCCTGTGATTGGCCCAAGCACACAGATGATGGCCAAGCCTCCTCCCAGCTGTCAGCATGCCAGCCAATCACCGTTGAGCTGGGCGGGGGTGGGGAATGGAAATTTTGAACCACACAACTCTGTATTTCCTATAAAAATGGCATTTATTTGTATTACCACATGCTTAGCCTGGCGAATGATTGCTACTTTGCATCCTTTTCAGCTGAATCGCTAATAAACCTCGGTGGCACTTTCTTCAACTTTGGTGAGATTCTTTTTAGGAACTTAGGGAAAATAAATTACTTAAAATTAGGCTTCTCTTTGCTCACCAATGTAGCGATCCCTCTTTGGTGGGGCTGCAGGGTCTCTCCTCCTGGGGTTGACCCTTCTAAAGTTCCTATCGACTTCATATGCATTGGGTAGCCTCGGGCCGGTCCCACTCTCTCAGCCTCAGAGCAAGGCCCAGGCAATCTCTCTCTGAACAAACCTTGCCAAGGAAAACCTACCCAGAGACTTGAAAAGCCACAGCCACATGCTAGATAGCAAGCCCACAGAGTGGAACCCTTGTTCAGTCCTTTAGTGGACATAGTCATTCCTCACTAATGACTTATGTTCTGGAGAATGGCTTTGCAGTCATAGAATCCTAGAATCCTAGAGTTGGAAGAAACCTCCTGGGCCACCCTGTCCAACCCCATTCTGCCAAGAAGCAAGAATATTGCATTCAAAGCACCCCTGACAGATGGCCATCCAGCCTTTGTTTCAAAGCTTCCAAAGAAGGAGCCCCCACCAGTTGTCCCCCTCCCCTCCAGGTAGAGTGACCAACTCTTCCATTTTTCTTGGGAACCCCTATATTTCAGCAATTGGAGGCAGAGGTGGTATGCCGTCGTGTCTGGGGGTTGTAACTCTTAGTGAAAGAGGCATGGACGTGACATCTTTCCCCAGGGGATTGCTTCTTGCCCTCCTTTAGGAAAACTGGAACTCCCAAGGACCAAAACACTGTAGATAACTCAAAATAGGTTTTATTGTTCACAAAGAGTTATCCCTTTAAGGCAATAAGCTGGAAGTTTCAAAGGGGTAAAGGAAAATATACATTACAGTCTCTGGTTGTCTTGGGTCCAAGGAGATTTCACAGCTGAGAAGCTTTTCCTGGTTCCTCTTTCTCAATGGCTGTGAATATCGGAATAATCACAACCCCAATTCCAATGGCCTATATTTTGAAGGCACAAAGCCTTCCTCTGGTGCCAAAGAACTGGTTTGAAGGCGCTTGAGACTTCTCAACGTCATCCAAGTTGATCTGAACATGAAGCATAAGTCTCAAGAGTAAGAACCTCAGAATTGGTGCTGAGAGGTAACTTAATCAAGGGCTTCAGAGCCAAGTCTCTCTCTCACGTCCATCTGATAGAAAGTTTGATGGTGGAATGGAAAAGGAAGCACTGTCCTGCTCTCTAGGAAGAAGTGGGGGCAAACAATTGAGCAGGAGGAGCAATTCAACTGGTGCAAACAACATTGATGGACAGCTACAAATAAACAATCAATCCAAGTATACATTTACAGGGTAAAAAGGCAAAATCAGGCATGATACAACAGTTCAAATCCTGCAACTTACAGTTCTACATATAGGTGGCGCCACTTGCGCCGTCACAGGTGGAATCGTATGGCTTTCCCTTGTGTCTGGATGAGGCTGGGGAAGCACTTTGTGGAGGTGGTGGTTAGGGAGATGAACATATATTGGGAGAGAAAGAAGTGAAGGAAGAGGAGGTAGAGGAAGGAAAAGAAGAATAGAACGAGGAGAGGAAGGGAAAAGAAAGAAGAGAAGGAGGAGAAGGAGAGGGGAAGAAGCAAAAAGAAGAGTGGAGGAGGAGGAGGAGGAGGAGGAGGAGGAAGAAAAAGACAAGGAGGAGAATAATAGAATCATAGAGTCATACAGTTGGAAGAAACCTGGTGGGCCATCATCCAGTCCAACCCCATTCTACCAAGAAGCAGGAAAGTTGCATTCAAAGCATCCCCGACAGATGGCCATCCAGCCTCTGTTTCAAAGCTTCCAAAGAAGGAGCCTCCATCACACTCCCTCCGGGGCAGAGAGTTCCACTGCTGAACGGCTCACAGTCAGGAAGTTTTTCCTCATGTTCAGGTGGAATCTCCTTTCTTGCTTAGTGTCAATATCTCCCTTCAATTGTGGTGTCCAGAACTGGACATAGTGGGATTCCAGGTAACGTGGTCATACCAAGGCAGGATAGAGCATGGGGAGCAGGACTTCCCTGCATCTAGGCACTGGCTCCTCTTGATGCAGGCCAACATCCCAGGAGAAGGAGATGTTCACCATGTTGCCATCAAGCTTTCATTCATGACTAACAATGTGCAAACAAGAAACGAAACAAGGGTTCAGGGGAGCCATTCTTTCTCACTTCGAGTTTGATTGCAGGGTTTCTTGCAGACGCTGCTGCAACCTCACATTGACTGTCGGTGTTCCAGCAGCTCTCCTCCACAATCCCCCCAAAGTTGATGTTGCTAAAAAAACAAAACATCCAGCTAGGCAGAGGGCAAGGAGGAAAAATGGAGTTTCATTGTCAGAAATTAAATATTATCCATGCCAGGAGCATTGGTTGGAGTGTTGTCGCTGCACTAAAAATGCACAAAATTTCCTTGAAAGACATGGCTGAAAGTTGGTCATGCTATCCCCATCCACTCCCCGAATGACCTCGCTGATTTCCCCCCACAGCATCCAAGCCATGGGTCAAGGGTGTCACCCTGGGAGCACTGACCACCTGCCTCATTCTCCTGGCCGCTGCTGTAGGACTCGGGGTCCGATGTAAGTAGCCATTGAGGGATGAGTGGCAGCCCTGCCTAAATCCCATTCGCTTCAACAGCCCCAACTGCCCTCTGCCTGTCCTCAGTGGGGGCTGCTGAATGGGCCCCCAGTTCCGACCTGTATGTCTTGCTGACCTTTGGGTGCCAGAACAGGGTCAATGGGTCAATGTGATGGCGAGCTGATGCCAGGCATCAATGCCAACTCTCACTATCTCAGGCTAGAGACCCAGAGCAGAAAGGCTGTAACTCAGCTGGCCCTGATTCGTCCTGGGGCGGGGGGGGGGGGGGGGTGGAGACTACCCTGGGCAAGGGGTCCCCTGTCCCTGAGGGTCTGCTTGTGCTGCCCACCCCTCTGATCCCCCCTCTCGCCCCTTCCTTGCAGACGGGCAGGTCTCTGGGCAGTTCCAGCAGGCATTGCAAGCGCATGCAGCCCACAGCAGCGCACAGGAAGGGAGCCTGGCGCAAAAGGAGGATTGGCTGCACCAGGCTTTAGCCGAGCTGAACTCCACCCGGGAGACCCTGAGGGAGAGCCAGGAGGCCACCAAAAACACCCAGGAGCAACTGCAGGAGGCCAATCGCAACCTCCATTCCCTGGAGCAGGAGAAGAACCAGGCAGAGGCAGAGCTGAGACGGGCAAACTCCTGCCAGAAGATAGGTATGTTCCCTGCACCTGGAGTCTTCCTGGGCTGGTCTCAGGGTGGCTGGGTGCTCCAGTGGGACATCCCTCCACTCTCCCCACCGGTAATGTCGATATCGAATATTACACTGGGACTGTGGCGCAGCTGGCTGGGAGTCAGCTGCATTAAGATCACTACTGACCAAAAGGTCATGAGTTCAAAGCCAGCCCGGGTCGGAGTGAACTTCCAACCAATTTGTGTAACTTGCTGTCGACCTTTGCAGCCTGAAATACAGTTGCATCTGTCAAGTAGGAAATTTAGGTACAGCTTATGCAAGGAGGCTAATTTACGATGTCATAAAATTCTCCAGCAAGCATGCAAAGAATGAGGAAGTTCTTCATCAGTGTCACAAATGGACGGTGAAGCAACAGCTCCCCCGGTGGCCAGAATACCCTCATGAAAAAGCTGGAATGTTAAATGGCCTCTGTGTATATGTTTATGTATGTTGTGTGTCTATGGCATTGAATGTTTGCCCCTCGGGGTGAGAAAAGTGGTATACAAATACTGCAAATAAATGTAAATAAATGTATGTGTACATTGTAATCCACCCTGAGTCTCCTGTGGGGTGAGATGGACGGAATATAAATACTGTAAATAATAATAATAATAATAATAATAATAATAATAATAATAATACTGCAAAAAATGAGAGTCTGCCTGGCAAGCATCACTAATCAAAATTACTAACCAGAGTTCCAGGAAGTGAAGGCAAAGGAGAGAGGTGTTTTATTGCACTCTTGGCCCAGAAGCGATGCCTGTGGGCTCCTGCCCCAAAGGATAAGAGAAGATGTGCTGTGCATCATAGTTTTATGCAACCAGGTTCCCATTGTTCCAGTCTGAATCGTCCCTCCCTTGCTCAATACTATCCTGGCCGCCTTCTATTGGGGGGTGGGGGGACTGTCTTGAAAGGGTGATGTATTGAGAAGGGCAGTGGCTGCGGAAACCTGCAGGTTCAAAACACCTGGAGGAGGCAGGTTGCAGAAGGGTGGCAAAGGCTTCCTCCAGAAGAGTGGAGGTCCGCAGTCTGGGAGTCCTCCTGGACTCATCGCTCACGCTTGAGGCTCAGGCGTCGGCGGTGTCTGGGAGGGCTTTCACACAATTGAGACTCGTGCACCAACTGCGACCGTACCTCGCGAAGGCGGATCTGGCCGGAGTGGTCCATGCCTTGGTCACCTCCAGATTGGACTACTGCAATGCGCTCTACATGGGGCTGCCCTTGAAAACGGCTCGGAAATTCCAACTAGTCCAACGAGCAGCAGCCAGGATGTTAACTGGCGCTCCTTACAGAGAGAGGTCAATCCTCCTGTTCAAGGAGCTCCACTGGCTGCCGTTTATCTTCCGAGCCCAATTTAAGGTGCAGGTGCTTACCTACAAAGCCCTGAACGGTTTGGGACCAGCCTACCTGCATGACCGCATCTCCGTCTACGAACCCACGCGTTCACTTCATTCATCTGGAGAGGCCCTGCTCATGATCCCGCCTGCGTCACAAGCATGGTTGGTGGGGACACGAGACAGGACCTTTTCCGTGGTGGCCCCCCGACTCTGGAATACCCTCCCCAAAGATCTCCGACAGGCCCCTACATTGGCAGTCTTCAGAAAGAACTTGAAGACCTGGCTGTTCCGATGTGCCTTCCCCGAATAGGAAACCTCCAATACCAAGTCCCATAAGCACTTTATTAAAGCTAAGACCACTGCACACCGCACACTGCACTTGCCCATAAGCCTCATATTCCACCCGTCACATCAGCACTTTTAACTCTTGTACCCTTACTCTGGCCCGGCCCAGTTTTATCGTGTCTTAGTGGATTGTTCATTGTTTGTTGTTGTTTAATATTGCTTTAACTGTTTTTAATTTGCTTTAGGTGTTGTATTGTTATGTTGCGTGTTGAGGCCTTGGTCTTTGTAAGCCGCATCGAGTCCTTCAGGAGATGCTAGTGGGGTACAAATAAAGATAATAATAATAATAATAATAATAATAATAATAATAATAATAATAATAATAATCTTTATTTATAACCCGCCACCATCTCCCCAGAGGGGACTCAGGACGGCTAACATGAGGCCAAGCCCAAAATAATACAACATGATTAAGCATAAGACATATCACAAATAAATCATAACAAAATATATAAAATAACATGTTCAGGGTCAGGAGGGTCAATTCCCTCCCTTGTCACGTTGCCAGGGCTCTGCCTTATTTAGGTAGAGATGAACCAAACTCCCAGTTTTATCAAACAGTTTAATTAAAACAGCACTTACTTTCTGGCTGTTTTAATAGACCAAAATATAAAACACAAAGAAGATAGCACTCAGCCACAGAATAAACAAAAACTGATAGCAAAAACAACTCCGTAGTCAAAAGGGTCCAGTCCAGTTGTCAAACGCCGAGAGTTCAATAAACAAAGTCCAGGGATCAAGAGTATATACCATAGTCAAAAGCCAGTCCAAAGGTTCAAGGTTCCAAGATTACAGGAGACAGGTCAGGATACCGAAAATTCAACAGACCTGGGGGAAAACCAGCAGCATCCAGCACCAAAATATGACAATACTTTTTCCCCCCAAAGATCAGTCCCAAGGCTAGCTCCTTAAACCCAGTAACACCCAGCTGCAACCTGTCCCCTTCATACCTCCACCCTTAATTGTTTTTACCTGTAAACTGTTACTTACAAACTACTCAGCCCTTTAGAACCAAGACTTACATTGACCCTTCCATCACCAACTGCCAGGTCTACCACCACCACCAACTATGGAACATATAACATCCCTCCAGTTTGTCACCATTAGAAAGACAGGCTGGGAATATTTATTTGTTTGTTTGTTTGTTTATTTATTTATTTACTACATTTGTATTTCGCCCCTCTCAGCTTTCGGGCAACTCGAGGTGGAATAGGAAGGGGTTTTTTTGTGCAAGATCTCATTTTGCAATGTGTCCACAGGCTGCTGCCCGGATGGCTGGACGCTCTTCCGCTGGAAATGCCTCTGGGTGTCCCAAGTGAGGAAGAATTGGGAGAGAAGCCAGGAAGACTGTAGAGAGAAGTCATCCCAGCTGCTTTTGGCCAAGGAGCCCTGGGGCCTGCAGCAGGTCTGGGCTGCCCTGAGGAGGCCGGTGAGGATACAAAGGGTGCCGTCTGGGGCGGGAGGGGGCCAAAGGGCAGAAGGCAAGGCCCAAAGGGACTCCTGAAATCAATAGAACTGAGCTCCAGCAAGTCAGTCTGCTTGCCTTTTTGAAGATGCTAACTGGGGTGTGTACCTGTGTGTGTGTGAGCACTGGGTGGCTCCCTGGTCATGTTTGGTGCACCAGAAGGAAGTTCATAAGCAACCCAGAGAGCCTTCCAGGAATGTCCCTCAACAGTCATTCGCCTCCCAGTCCCCATAAGCCTGACGGAGGGCAGATCCCTCTGCGGAGGTTAAGGGAAAGCTTTGGAGGAGAATGCGCCCCTGCTCCAAATTGTTGCGCAGAGTGTGTTTTAGCCAGGTCCAATTGMRAATGATGCACAAGCAAGAGGAAAAAGGAACAGAAAAACTCTCATCAGCATATTGCTCCTCCAAACTGTATTCCAAAATCCATACAGTTATACCCCACCAGGTGTGGCCCAAACATGCTGGCTGACCTACATTACCAGCTGCACATAATAATTAACATCATAAKGTTTTTCTTAACACACACACACACACTTGATCCTGCTACGACTTACTGTAACACAAATGCCCTTGGCATTGTGATCCCCAACCTCCTCCTGGATGAGTGCCCCACCCCCACCCTCGCTATGGATCCGCTCTTCTTTGCACACCAGTCTTGCACCCTCCCACCAATTTGCAGGAAGGATTTGCACAAGGTGGGGGGGGGGCAATGAAAGCCAGCAGGATTGTGGCGCATCTGGCTGAGTGTCAGCTGCATTAAGATCACTCTGACCAAAAGTTCATGAGTTCAAAGCCAGCCCGGGTTGGAGTAGGTTTCCAATCAATTGTGTGTAGCCTGTTGTCGACCTTTGCAACCCGAAAGACAGTTGCATCTGTCAAGTAGGAAAATTAGGTACCAACTTAAAAGTGTGGGGAGGCTAAATTAACTAATTTATGAGGCCATAAAGAAGACTGCGGCAAAGCATTCCAGTGGGGAAGCATGCGGGGAATGCGGAAGTGCTTCATCAGCGTCGCAGGTGGACGAGGAAAGCGACAGCTCTCCTGGCGGCCAGAAAAAAGTTAAATAGCCTCTGTGTATGTCTGTATATGTTGTATGTCAAAATTGGCATTGAATGTTTGACATATATGTGTACTCTGTAATCCGCCCTGAGTCCCCTGCCGGGTGAGGAGAAGGGCGGAAGAGAAATACTGCAAATAAATAAATAAATAAATCCTGCACAGAAATGCCCGTCATAGGCTTCCACATGCACCAACCTTTTCTTTTCCACCCTAGAATCACCTGCGCTCCAATGGATACTGGATTGGACTTCGCAAATTTAACATGGTTTTTATTTGGGCCGATGGGTCACGCTATGAAGGGTAAGTGCACAGTCTTGATCAGTTCTCTTGGTGCCAAAGTAAGGCCAGGATCACTGCCAACCATGGCTCAATTTTCATTTTGTGGTCTCTAGTCCCTGAAGGTCGTTTTGGATCCGGACCCTGTCCTCTGGGGTATTAGTTCTCCCTCACCATTTGTTCCCACCTGCAGACTTAGAATCACAGAATCCTAGTGTTGGAAGAGACCTCAAGGGCCATCCAGTCCAACCCTTCCTGCCAAGAAGCAGGGAATTCACATTCAAAGCACCCTGACAGATGGCCACCCAGCCTCTGCTTCAAAGTCTCCAAAGAAGGAGCCTCCGCCACACTCTGGAGCAAAGATCAGCATGTCTTCTATTCCATCATCCAAGTCATTGATAAAGAGGTGGAATTGCCCTGAAAGGCCCAGGACCAGAATGCTCCTGTGACACCAAATAGTTCCTTCTTCCCACACATCATAGAACTGTAGAGTTGGCAAATAATTTCAGAAGCCATCCAGTCAATGTCTCTTCTGCCAGGCAGAAAAACACAACCCGATCCCTCCTGACAGATGGCCATCTGTTGGGATGGCCTGGATGATGTCTTCCTGCATGGGGGAAGCAGGTTGGACTGGGTGGCTCTTGGGGTTTCTTCCCATTCTTTGATTTCATCCCTGTTTTTACCTATCCAAACGAGCCTGCCTTGTTTTGACGGTAAGAGATCCAGCCAAAGTCTGTTAATTAAGCTTGAGGGATTTCAGCCATAAAGTAATCCGCTTTGTTGTTGTTGTTCATTTGTTCAGTCGTCTCTGACTCTTTGTGACCTCATGGACCAGCCCACGCCAGAGCTCCCTGTCGGCCGTTACCACCCCCAGCTCCCTCGAGGTCAGTCCAGTCACTTCAAGGATGCCATCCATCCATCTTGCCCTTGGTCGGCCCCTCTTTCTTTTGCCTTCCACTTTCCCCAGCATAATTGTCTTCTCTAGGCTTTCCTGTCTCCTCATGATGTGGCCAAAGGACTTCCACTTTGTCTCTAGTCTCCTTCCCTCCAGTGAGCAGTCGGGCTTTATTTCCTGGAGGATGGACTGGTTGGATCTTCTCGCAGTCCAAGGCACTCTCAGCACTTTCCTCCAACACCACAGTTCAAAAGCGTCTCTCTTCCTTCGCTCCGCCTTCCCTAAGGTCCAGCTCTCACATCCGTAGGTGACTACAGGGAAGACCATGGCTTTGACTAGGCAATGGATCTTGGTTGCCAGTCTGATGTCTCTACTCTTTATGATTTTATCGAGATTGGTCCTTGCTCTCCTCCCAAGAAGGAAGTATCTCTGATTTCCTGGCCTCAGTCTGCATCTGCACTCATCTTCTCACCTAGAAATACAAAGTCTGTCACGGCCTCCACGGTTTCTCCCTCTATTTCCCAGTTGTCAATCATTCTTGTTGCCATAATCTTGGTTTTTTTGACGTTTAGCTGCAACCCGGCTTTTGCGCTTTCTTCTTTCACCTTGATTCACAAGTATTTACACAGAGAAACATCGTAGCCCAGAGCAAGCACATCTGCTCTGGTAAAAAGCATCAAGCAAGGATGGCGACTCTCAGCCTTCATCATCTTCTTCTTCTTCTTCTTCTTCTTCTTCTTCTTCTTCTTCTTCACAGCAATAGACACACCTCCCAAATTCCATTCAGACATCCGGTCTCACACAGAGAAAGTAATAATACACACATATCTTTCTAGGAAACATACGAACCTCTGTGGTCTGTTAACTCTATACATGCTAGACAGTTTTATACACACATGGTTACAGCTTTAAAACCACACACTTTGCAATCTGTATTGTCGAAGGCTTTCATGGTCGGAGTCACTGGGTTGTTGTAGGTTTTTTCGGGCTATATGGCCATGTTCTAGAGCAGTGGTTCTCAACCTTCCTAATGCCGCGACCCCTTAATACAGTTCCTCATGTGGTGGTGACCCCCAACCATAACCCTAACATTATGAATCGCCATGTAAATAATGATCTGCAGGATGTATTTTCATTCACTGGAGCAAATTTGGCACAAATACCCGGTATGCCCAAATTTGAATACTGGTGGGGTTGGCGGGGGGATTGATTTTGTCATTTGGGAGTTGTAGTTGCTGGGATTTATAGTTAACATGTAAACAAAGAGCATTCTGAACCCCACCAACAATGGAATTGAACCAAAGTTGGCACAGAGAACTCCCATGATCAACAGAAAATATTGGAAGGGTTTGGTGGGCATTGACCTTGAGTTTGGGAGTTGTAGTTTGCCTACATCCAGAGAGCACTGTGGGCTCAAACAATGATGGATCTAGACCAAACTTGGCACAGATACTCAATATGCCAAAATGTGAACACTGGTGGAGTTTGCGGAAAATAGACCATGACATGTGGGAGTTGTAGTTGCTGCAATTTATAGTTCACCAACAATCAAAGAACACGCTGAACTCCACCAATGATAGAATTGGGCCAAACTTCCCATACAGAATCCCCATGACCAGAGGCGGCCCTAGGTAATTTTCAACGGTAAGCAAACAGTATTTTGGCGCCCCCGCCCCCCAACCATCATTGATATATATTTTCTGTTAGTCATGGGAGTTCTGTGTGCCATATTTGGTTCAATTCCATCATTGGTGGAGTTCAGAATGCTCTTTGATTTAGGTGAACTATACATCCCAGTAACTACAACTCACATATGTCAAGGTCTATTTTCCCCCAAGAGTGCCTCAAAATCAACTGTACTGCGAACGCTTACTTTGCGTAATGGTTGAGCCGCCCCTGCCCATGACCAATAGAAAATACTGTGTTTTCTGATGATCTTTGGTGACCCCTCTGGCACCCTCTCGCGACCCCTCCAGGGGTCCCGACCCCCAGGTTGAGAACCACTGTTCTAGAGGCATTCTCTCCTGACGTTTCGCCTGCATCTATGGCAAGCATCCTCAGAGGTAGTGAGGTCTGTTGGAATTAGGACAATGGGTTTATATATCTGTGGAATGACCAGGGTGGGACAAGGGACTCTTGTCTGCTGGAGCTAGGTGTGAATGTTTCAACTGACCACCTTGATTAGCATTTGATGGCCTGACTGCGCCTGGGGCAATCTTTTGTGGAGAGGTGATTAGGTGTCCTTGTTTGTTTCCTCTCTGTTGTTGTGCTGTTGTAATTTTAGAGTTTTTTAATACTGGTAGCCAGATTTTGTTCCTTTTCATGGTTTCCTCCTTTCTGTTGAAATTGTCCTCTTGCTTCTTGTGGATTTCAATGGCTTCTCTGTGTAGTCTGGCATGATGGTTGTGTGAGTGAGCATCCAGCATTTCTGTGTTCTCCAATAATAATCTGCTGTGTCCAGGTTGGTTCATCCGGTGCTCCGCTATGGCTGAATTCTCTGGCTGAAGAAGTCTGCCGTGCCTTTCATGTTCCTTGATTCGTGCCTGGGCCATTCTGCTGCGTTTGGGGGTCCCTAAGGAGACTTATTGTCCACAGCTGCATGCTACACGGTAAACATATACATCGGAGGAAGAAATAAGAGACCAATTCGCAAATTACTACAAGAGACTATATCAAGACCACCAAATAAAGAAGGAGAAAATTGCCCAGTATTTAGGAGAAAAGAAAAGTAGCAGAATATCGGAGGAGGAGAGAGAGGCGCTAAACAAGGAAATTTCGGAAGAAGAAATTAGATCGGCGATAAAAAACCTGAAGACAAACAAGGTCCCAGGTCCGGACGGATTAAGTGCAGTATACTATAAAACAATCATAGAATCATAGAATCAAAGAGTTGGGAGAGACCTCCTGGGCCATCATCCAGTCCAACCCCATTCTGCCAAGAAGCAGGAATATTGCATTCAAATCACCCCTGACAGATGGCCATCCAGCCTCTGCTTTAAAAGCTTCCAAAGAAGGAGCCTCCACCACACTCCGGGGCAGAGAGTTCCACTGCTGAACGGCTCTCACAGTCAGGAAGTTCTTCCTCATGTTCAGATGGAATCTCCTCTCTTGTAGTTTGAAGCCATTCCTCCATGGCGTCCTAGTATCCAGGGAAGCAGAAAACAAGCTTGCTCCCTCCTCCTCCCTGTGGCTTCCTCTCACATATTGATACATGGCTATCATCATATCCCCTCTCAGCCTTCTCATTTCCAGGCTAAACATGCCCAGTTCCCTAAGCCGCTCCTCATAGGGCTTGTTCTCCAGACCCTTGATCCTTTTAGTTGCCCTCCTCTGGACACTTTCCAGCTTGTCAATATCTCTCTTGAATTGTGGTGCCCAGAATTGGACACAATATTCCAGGTGTGGTCTAACCAAAGCACACAATGGTGGAAGAAATTATGCCATTCTTAAAAAGAACACTAAACGAGATAAGGGAGAGGAGAGAAATGCCAGAAACCTGGAAGCAAGCTAATATTTACATTATTCCCAAGGAGAAAAAAGACCCAGAACAGCTTAAAAATTATAGACCTATTTCTTTACTAAATTTGGACTACAAAATATTCAGCAGCATACTGGCAGGGAGACTTAAGAAATTCCTAGCAAATTGGATAAAAGTGAGAAGATCCCTCTTGTCCATGTTCCTGGACCATCTGAACAGCATCCACCCAAACATCCAGTTCACCATGGAAAAAGAAAATGAAGGAAGGAAGACTGCCTTTCCTAGATGTCCTCGTCATCTGCAGATCCACAATTGGGTCACACCGTCTACAGAAAACCCACACACACAGATAGATATCTACATCAAAACTCCAACCATCACCCAAGTCAAAAAAAAGAAGCGCCATTAAAGCCTTGGCAGACCGTGCGAGAAGAATCTGCGCAGCCCACCTCCTCCAAGGTGAACTGGACCACCTCAACTGGGCTCTCCAGGCCAAGGGAGACTCCACCTCAGACATCAGAAGAGCTGCAAGACCACCGAGAAGAAGCCACGAGAGTCACGACCAAGATCCACCCAGAGGGAAAGGGTTCTTGCCAGACGTCAAGGGAACCACTGACCGCAGAGGGAAGCTGATGAGGAAACACAACATACAAACTATCTGCAGACCCGCCAAGAAAATCCAACCAATGCTCCGTTCAGCAAAGGACAAGAGGGATCCTCTCACCTCTGCAGGAGTCTACCATTGTATACCATGCAGCTGTGGACAAGTCTACAGAGGGACCACCAAACGCAGCATTGCCCAAACACGAATCAAGGAACATGAAAGGCACTGCAGACTACTCCAACCAGAGAAGTCAGCCATAGCAGAGCACCTGATGAACCAGCCTGGACACAGCATATTATTTGAGAACACAGAAATGCTGGACCACACCAACAACCACCATGTCAGACTACACAGAGAAGCCATTGAAATCCACAAGCATGTGGACAATTTCAACAGAAAGGAGGAAACCATGAAAATGAACAAAATCTGGCTACCAGTGTTAAAAAACTCTAAAATTACAACAGCACAACAACAGAGAGGAAACAAACAAGGACATCTAATCACCTCTCAACAAAAGATTGCCCCAGGCACTGCCAGGCAATCAAATGCCAATCAAGGTGGTCAGTTGAAACATTCACACCTAGCTCCAACAGACAAGAGTCCTTTGTCCCACCCTGGACATTATTCCACAGATATATAAACCAACAGACCTCACTACCTCGGAGAATGCTTGCCATAGATGCAGGTGAAACGTCAGGAGAGAATGCCTCTAGACCATGGCCATATAGCCCAAAAAAACCCGCAACAACCCACTTTGCAATCTACTCATAAATCAAACACAGTAATAACAGAGTCCTCGCTGGGATTTTAATTCCAGTTCCTTTTTTTCGTTCCTTTCCAGGACTGAGAAACCTGTGCAGTCTTGGGTTCTGCTCTGTGGAAAAGTGGACCGAGGGAACTTGGTGCAAACGGAATGTTACCACCTCAATGGCTACATCTGTGAGAGGGCAGCCAGCCCCACTGGGCCAGTCCAAGCCCCCAGCCCCTGATAGGCAGAAAGGCCAGAGGGGGTCCCCACTCCCAGCCCACCCTGGGCGAGTGCTAGCCCCCGATGAGAAGCAAGGCCTTTTTGCAGAATGGTTATCCATGCCCCCCCCCCCCCCGGATGCTCATGAAGCCCCCCACTCCCTGCACCACCAAAGCTGGGAAATGGGCTAAGAGGACTTTGGGGGCTAGCACTCCCCCCCCCCTTGCAGACCAGGACCTGACCAGCCCGGGGGCAATGGGGGTCTCGCTCCCCCAAGCACAACCTCATGAACGCAGCCCTGGTGCCTTTGGGGGTGTCTGCTCCCCACTTGGACCAAGTGCATCCTGCACTAGATTCTGATGGAAGTCAGCAGCCCAAATGGCAAGCCAGTGCCCTCTCAGAAATCATGCTCATAAGGTTGAAGGGCTGCTTAGAGGCCACCCAATCCAGCCCCCTTCTTTCTGTCAGGTAGGAAGGCACCATCCAAGCCCTCCTGACAGATGGCCATCCAGCCTCTGCTGAAAGATCTCCAGAGAAGGAGAGGCTATTGTCCCCAAGGAAGTCAAAGGAAACACTCTCAGCGTGCTTGGCCCTGTATCAGGGAAAGATGGCCACAAGGAAGGGGAAAGCCTCCATAGAATCCCAGAGTTGGAAGAGACCTGGTGGACCATCATCCAGTCCAACCCCATTCTGCCAAGAAGCAGGACAATCGCAATCAAAGCACCCCTGACAGATGGCCATCCAGCCTCTGCTTCAAAGCCCCCAAAGAAGGAGCTTCCAGAATACTTCAGGACAGAGAGTTCCACTGCTGAACAGCTCTCACAGTCAGGAAGTTCTTCCTCATGTTCAGGTGGAATCTCCTTTCGTTCCTGTAGTTTGAAGCCATTGTTCCATTGCATCCTAGTCTCCAGGGAAGCAGAAAACACGCTTGCTCCCTCCTCCTCCCTGTGACTTCCTCTCATGTATGTATACATCACTATCATGTCTCCTCTCATCCTTCTCTTCTTCAGGCTAAACATGCCCAGTTCCCTAAGCCGCTCCTCATAGGGCTTGTTCTCCAGACCCTTGATCCTTTGAGTCACCCTCCTCTGGACACATCCCAGCTTAGAGTCAACATCTCCCTTCAATAGTGAGGCCCAGAATTGGACACAGTGGGATTCCAGGTGTGGTCTAACCAATGCACAATGGAGTTATAGTCAATGCATTTCTATCTAACAGTGCATTATCTACCTTGCAACCCCTTCCAAAAATACTTATGATGACACGTGTGACTTTGTCTTAAATGAATCATTGTCACAGCCAGCACTGCAAGGGGTTTAATTTAATCCTCTGCTCTATTGCTTTTGCATTCCTTAAAATTAATCAAGGAGATGGGAACTGAAGACTTGTCAGAAAGAGATCTGTGAAGCTGATACACGGAAACCCACTTACCAGCTTTGTGTGTGAAAGCAATGGCAAATTCAAACCACCAAACGACCAAGGAAGATCGTGGACAAACACCAGGACTGTGGCGCAGCTATCTGAGTGTCAGCTGCATTAAGATCACATCTGACCACAAGGTCATGAGTTCGAAGCCAGCCTGGGTCGGAGTGAGCTTCTGACCAATTGTGTACCTTTTTGTCGACCTTTGCAACCCGAAAGACAGTTGCATCTGTCAAGTAGGAAAATTAGGTACCACCTATGTGTGGGGAGGCTAATTTAACTAATTTACGAGCCCATAAAAAAGACGCCAGCAAAGCATTCCAGCAAAAGCATGCGGGGAATGTGGAAGTACTTTATCAGTGTCACAGATGGACGATGAAAGCGACAGCTCCCCTGGAGGCCAGAAAAGTTAAATAGCCTCTGACTGTCTGTCTATATGTGTTGTGTGTCTTTGGCATTGAATGTTTGCCATGTATGTGTACACTGTAATTTGCCCTGAGTCCCCAGTGGGGTGAGGAGAAGGGCAGAATACAAATACTGTAAATAAATAAATAAACTAGAAAATATATTATAATAATTATATGCAATTGATGACATCAGAATAAGATGGATGGATGGCATCCTTGAAGTGACTGGGCTGACCTTGAAGGAGCTGGGGGTGGTGACGGCCGACAGGGAGCGCTGGCGTGGGCTGGTCCAGGAGGTCACGAAGAGTCGGAGACGACTGAACGAATGAACAACAACAATAGAACTGATAGAGCTGGGTTTTTATAATGCTATAGCAGTGGTTCCCAACCCATGGGCCGCGAGGCCAAAAGACCACATCAGCTCTAGATTATTAAATATGGTTTTCTGTGGGCAAGCAGATGGCGACTACTGGATGGCATATGTTCTGTATCAGAAACTAGAGCTGATGTGGTCTATCCAATGCAATTTTCTGAATCAGCACCCCAAATAATCAAACCGAATCTAAAGTTGACCAAAAACTGATTCGTAACCCTTTTGGTACTAATCATAGAATCATAGAATCCTAGAACCAAAGAGTTGGAAGAGACCTCCTGGGCCATCATCCAGTCCAACCCCATTCTGCCAAGAAGCAGGAATATTGCATTCAAAGCACCCCTGACAGATGGCCATCCAGCCTCTGCTTAAAAGCTTCCAAAGAAGGAGCCTCCACCACACTCCCTCTGGGGCAGAGAGTTCCACTGCTGAACGGCTCTCACAGTCAGGAAGTTCTTCCTCATGTTCAGGTGGAATCTCCTCTCTTGTAGTTTGAAGCAATTGTGTCCTAGTCTCCAGGGAAGCAGAAAACAAGCTTGCCCTCCTCCCTGTGGCTTCCTCTCACATATTTATACATGGCTATCATATCTCCTCTCAGCCTTCTCTTCTTCAGGCTAAACATGCCCAGCTCTTTAAGCCGTTCTTCATAGGGCTTGTTCTCCAGACCCTTGATCATTTTAGTTGCCCTCCTCTGGACACATTCCAGCTTGTCAATATCTCTCTTGAATTGTGGTGCCCAGAATTGGACACAATATTCCAGATGTGGTCTAACCAAAGCAGAATAGAGGGGTAGCATGACTTCCCTAGATCTAGACACTATGCTCCTATTGATGCAGGCCAAAATCCCATTGGCTTTTTTTGCCGCCACATCACATTCCTGGCTCATGTTTAACTTGTTGTCTATCCAATGCAATTTTCTGAATCAGCACCCCAAATAATCAAACCGAATCAAAAGTTGACCAAAAACTGATTCATAACTCTTTTGGTACTAACGTTGGAGAGAGAGTGGTCCCTGGTCAAAGTGCGGTCCCTGGTTTTCTGTGGGCGAGCAGATGGCGACTACTGGATGGCATATATTTCCGTTTCAGAAACTAGAGCTGATGTGGTCTATCCAATGCAATTTTCTGAATCAGCGCTCCAAATGACCAAACTGAATCTCAAGTTGACCAAAACCTGATTCGTAACCCTTTTGGTACTAATGTTGGAGAGAGAATGGTCCCTGGTCAAAAAACCGGTTGGGAACCACTGTGCTATAGCAATGTTGTTGGGGAATGAGAGGCATGTACAGATTTGGGTGGAAACAATGGAACAAGGCAGTTGCAATATGATAAATGTTGTAAGATCAATCAATAAAGTTTATTCAATCTATATAAATAAAAATGTCATGTTCGTTTGTGGGATTAACAGAACTCAAAAACCACTGGGGGAATTGACACCAAATTTGGACACAAGACACCAGCTAAAGCAATCTATGTCCTTCACTCAAAAAAATTAAAAAATAACCGGAAAGACTTAAACCTCCCATAAAGCTAAATGACTATATAGAGCTTGCGTTAAAAGAACACCCTCCCCCGCCCTTCCCCCCTGCACGAGGGGAAAAAACCCAACAGCTGAGAGACAGGCAGCTTGAGAGAGGGAGGGAAAGGTGGCCGGTATATCCCTCTTGTTACCCCCTGCCTCTCTCTTCCCAAAGGATTCAGAGTGAGGGGTGGAGGGAGGGAGAGAGAGAGAGAGAGAGAGAGGACACCCTCCTCCAGATCCACTCCCTCCCTTTCCTTCCTTTCCTTTCCTTTCCTGCTGCCTCAGGGGAGCGTGCTCGCTCCATCCATGTTCAACATCTACACAAATGACCAGCCACTGCCAGAAGGGACAGAGAGTTTCATCTATGCTGATGATCGTGCCATCACCGCTCAAGCAGGGAGCTTTGAGATGGTTGAACAGAAGCTCTCCGAAGCTCTAGGTGCTCTTACTGCCTAGTACAGGGAAAACCAGCTGATCCCTAATCATATATCATATATTTAATATCACACAGGATGACCACCTCACCCGCCTCACAGGAAACCTGCTACAAAACAGGAGCTTTTTTGTTGAGTTCCAGGGCCAGAGAAGCAGATGGCGGAAAGAGAAGAACGGCCTGCCTCAGGGGAGCGTGCTTGCTCCATCCATGTTCAACATCTACACAAATGACCAGCCACTGCCAGAAGGGACAGAGAGTTTCATCTATGCTGATGATCGTGCCATCACCGCTCAAGCAGGGAGCTTTGAGATGGTGAACAGAAGCTCTCCGAAGCTCTAGGTGCTCTTACTGCCTATTACAGGGAAAACCAGCTGATCCCTAATCCATCTAAAACACAGACATGCGCCTTTCACCTCAAGAACAGACAAGCATCCCGAGCTCTGAGGATTACCTGGGAAGGAGGGGATCCCACTGGAGCATTGCAACACACCCAAATACCTGAGAGTCACTTTGGCCCGTGCTCTGACCTACAAGAAGCACTGCCTGAACATCAAGCAAAAAGTGGGCGCTAGAAACAACATCTCACGAAAGCTGACTGGCACAACCTGGGGGTTACAACCAGACACAGTGAAGACATCTGCCCTTGTGCTATGCTACTCTGCTGCTGAGTACACATGCCCAATGTGGAACACATCTCACCACGCTAAAACAGTGGATGTGGCTCTTAATGAGACATGCCGCATTATCACGGGGTGTCTGCGCCCTACACCACTGGAGAAATTACACTGCTTAGCCGGTATTGCACCACCTGACATCCGCCGGGAAGTAGCAGCCAATAGTGAAAGGACCAAGGCAGAGACATCTCCAGCTCATCCCTGTTTGGGTATCAGCCAGCAACGTCAACGACTTAAATCAAGACATAGTTTTCTTAGATCTACAGAGACACTCGCTGGAACACCCCAGCAAGCGAGAGTCCAAAAGTGGCAGGCCCAAACCCAGCACCTCAATCCATGGGTGATACCAGATGAGAGACTCCCCCCTGGGCACACAGAAGACTGGGCGACTTGGAAGGCGCTGAACAGACTGCGCTCTGGCACCACGAGATGCAGAGCCAACCTCAAGAAATGGGGCTACAGGGTGGAATCCTCGGCATGCGAGTGTGGAGAAGAGCAAACCACTGACCACCTGCTGCAATGCACCCTGAGCCCTGCCACATGCACAATGGAGGACCTTCTTGCAGCAACACCAGAGGCACTCCAAGTGGCCAGATACTGGTCAAAGGACATTTAACCAACTACCAAGTTTGCAAAATCTGTGTTTTTTTTCCCCCTTTTTCTTTTTAATCTGTGTGTTTGTTTTGCTCTGTTAGAATTGTAATACAATGGTTGCTGATGACACGATAAATCATCCTGCTGTCAGCAGCATGGAGGTGCCTGCGCTGCGAACTCACCTGGGAGGGATTCTCTCTCACTGTGTGTGTGTGTGTGTGTGCCCAGAAAGCTCACCCATACTGAGTTATAGGAAGGAATTTTGGGAAATGAAGTCCAATATCCAAAGAAAGGAGAAAAAGGCATGCTCTGTGAGTTAGAAAAGGCTGTCCAGGAAGGCACAATCAAAACACTCCTGAAAGATGGACATCCATTTTTACTTGATAGCAACCTTGGGCTATAATATATCTACAATCATAATATCTATGACCGCTACCCCAGGTCAGATCCTTCTTCACAGGGACACCCAGGAACTTGAAACTGGCCACCTGCTCCACTTGGTCCCCATTTATGACCAAGGGCTGGAGTTCTGGTCTGTTCTTTCTGTAGTCCATTATGAGCTCCAGGGTCTTGTTGATGTTCAGAATCAGGTTGTTGTCCCTGTACCACCAGAACAGCCAAAGAAGCCCCATTACAGTTGTATAGTTCGTGAACTTGGTTATAATATTGCTATGGTGGATGGGGGTACAATCATATGTGTACAACGTGTAAGGCAGAGGACTCAACACACAGCCCTGTGGCATCCCAGTGTTGAGAGCAAGAGCTGATGAGGTATGACCTTTCACAGAGGTCCAGAGTTGCACGAGTTCAAGGCTTAGAAGATCAGGAATAAGCCAAACAGTATCTGTATCCCCATGAACTATATTGTGCCTAACTCTTTCACAATTATATCAGTTTTTGATTTTGTGTAACTTGTATCTTGTACCGATAACTTGTACCAATCTTGATAAAATAGTGAAGAGTAGAGACATCACACTGGCAACGAAGATCCACATAGTCAAAGCAATGGTATTCCCCGTAGTCACCTACGGATGTGAGAGCTGGACCATAGGGAAGGCTGAGCGAAGGAAGAGAGATGCTTTTGAGCTGTGGTGTTGGAGGAAAGTGCTGAGAGTGCCTTGGACTGCGAGAAGATCCAACCAGTCCATCCTCCAGGAAATAAAGCCCGGTTGCTCATTGGAGAGAAGAAGATGATAGGCAAAGATGAAGTCCTTTGGCCACATCATGAGGAGACAGGAAAGCTTGGAGAAGAGAAGGATGCTGGGGGAAATGGAAGGAAAAAGGAAGAGGGGCCGACCAAGGGCAAGATGGATGGGTGGCATCCTTGAAGTGACTGGATTGACCTTGAAGGAGCTGGGGGAGCTCTGGCCTGGGATGGTGCAGGAGGCCACGAAGAGTTGGAAGCAACTGAACGAATGAACAACAACTTGTATCCTCCTGACTTTGTACTGTATCTACTTCTTGTATGAAATGGATATAAAACACTTCTTTTAAATGTCTCAAAGTGTAGCCTAGAGAAACAGCCACCCCTCAGATACTCTCCAGGCAATAGAAAAGGTGGGCAAATCCCTCTGACTATTTCCCAAGCCAGGTTCATTATGTATATGCAAAGATAGGTGATTTCCTTCCCCAACTAGGTATGCCCAAAATGTTTGCACAATTCAGTCTGATGCAGGGAAAACAGAATCTCAGCCCAGCTTTGGAGATGACAAGTTCACTTTCTCTTTCCGGGTGGAGGCCGTGAGTGTGCAGAGTGTTTTCGCTTGGCTGGCTCCACTTCTGCTTTCCATTGCCAGTCCGAAACACATGTTTTTCAGCACAAGGCGTACGCCGGTTCCAGTGCTGGGCTTTGTCCTCTGAGATTGCCCCACAAGACCCCCTCCTGTCCTCTGTCCGGCCAACAATGGCTGAAGAGGTGACCTATGCTGACCTGAGGTTTGTGAAGAACCCTCCTGGGAACAAGACCCCAAGGGAAGGTAGGCATCCGGCAGAACCAGGCCCCAGGCAGCCAGGGGTCTCCCCCACCCCAGAATGCCACCCCCACCCCCAATGCCTCCCATTCCCATTTTTCCCTTTCCAGGGCATGGGGCCGAAGAAGGGGAGCTCACCTATGAGAACGTCCAGGGGGCGAGGCCAGCGGGGAAAGAGGAGACCAGAAGCGCACCCAAAGAGGAGACAGGTGAGCCCCTGGGGACCCCACACCTGCCTTGATTTCCCTCTTTTCTTCCTTAAAATCTGATGGGAATAAGGTAGAACCAGTTGGATCCCATTCATTAGCACACCTGGGGGTCAACTTGGCATTCCAGACCCCAGAAGTGGGGGGACCTGGGTGTTTCCTATGTACGGCTCCCATATACTGCTTTTAGGAAGGCTGGGAACTTTTTAAAAACTGTTTGAATTGTTCATGGAATATTGGCTTAATAGCATCATTGTTTTAGATGAATTTTGTGGCTGGATTATGACACCAAGAGCACTCTTTCCTTTTCTGGAAACGTTTCAGGAGAGGCTGGATGGCCATCTGCCTGGAGGACTTAGATCAGTGTTTCTCAACCTTCCTAATGCCGTGACCCCTTAATACAGTTCCTGATGTTGTGGTGACCCCCAACCATAAAATTATTTTTGTTGCTGCTGCATAACTAATTTTTCTACTGTTATGAATTGTCACATAAATATCCGATATGCAGGATGTATTTTCATACACTGGACCAAATTTGACACAAATACTCGATACACCCAAATATGAATACTGATGGGGTTGCGGGGAGGATTGATTTTGTCATTTGGGAATTGTAGTTGCTGGAATTTAGTTTACCTACAATCAAAGAGCATCTGAACATGGAATACATGGAATTGAACCAATTGAACCAATCCCATGACCAACAGAAAATACTGGAAGGGTTTGGTGGGCATTGACCCTGAGTTTGGGAGTTGTAGTTCACCTACATCCACAGAGCACTGTGAACTCAAATAATGATGGATCTGGACCACACTTGACACGAATCCTCAATATGCCCAAATGTAAACACTGGTGGTGTTTGGGGAAAATAGACCTTGACATTTGGGAACTGTAGTTGCTGGGATTTATAGTTCACATACAACCAAAGGGTACTCTGAACCTCACCAATGATAGAATTGGGCCAGACTTCCCACACAGGACCCCCATGATCAATAGAAAATACTGTGTTTTCTGATGATCTTTGGTGACCTCTCTGACACCCCAGGTTGAGAAACACTGACTTAGATGGTGTCTTCCTTCATGGCAGAAGGGAGTTGGACTGGACTAGACAGCCTTTGGGATACCTTCCAACTCTTATGATTCCGTGTCCCATTTATTTGTATGGATGATGATAGCATTGTGTTTAAGGGAAGCAACTCAGTGATTCTGGCCAGGAAAGCCTTCAACAACACAGTGACAACACTGTGTTTAAGTGAAGCTAGAAGAGAAATGTAAGAAGCAGAATCCTCATTCTTTGAGTGTGCTTCTACGCACTGGGTGGCCTTCAGGCGAGTCCCACTCTCTCAGTATTTATATTCCACCTCCCCCCCCCCCCCCCCGCAGGGGACTCAGGGCGGATCACAATCTATATATATAAATTTCCTCCTGGCGTCGTATGAGGAAACAAAACTCAAAAACCCCCCAACGAAACTCCACCAAACTTCCCATGCCCCAAGGGCAACCAACAAGGTACAAACTAATCCACTCAGAAATCAAAAACACACAACAACAACCACAATAAACGGCAAAGCAACTGAGCATGCGCACTGGCGCAAACTCCCTGGCGCGCGCACACACATTGGGAACACATTTATTTAGAAGATTTCTATACCGGCCACACACATGGCCCCTCCCCCTCCCCCCCGGCGCGGCACACACACGCGCGCGCGCACGGCCCCTCCCCCCCCGGCGCGGCACACACACACACACGCGTGCCCCCTCTCCCACCCGGCGCGGCACACACGCGCGCGCACCCCCACCCCCCCCCGGCGCGGCACACACGCGCGCGCACGTGCCCCCTCTCCCCCCTCCGGCGCGGCACACACACACATGCACACACACGCGCGCACGCGCCCCCTCTCCCCCCTCCGGCGCGGCACACACACACATGCACACACACGCGCGCACGCGCCCCCTCCCCCCCCCGGCGCGGCACACACGCACACATGCGCACGCGTGCCCCCTCACCCCCCCCGGCGCGGCACACGCGCGCGCGCGCGCCCCCTTTCCCCCCTCCGGTGTGGCACACGCACGCACGCGCGCCCGCGCGCCCCCTCACTCCGCACACATGCGCGCGCGCGCCCCCATCCCCCCTCCCCCCCTCCCTCTTACCCTCCTCACGTTACCTCCAAGTCACGCCCCCTTCTAAACCCATCCCCCCCCCCTCCTCACCTTACCCCCAAGCCACGCCCCTTCTAAACCCATCCCCCCTCCCCTCCTCACATTACCTCCAAGCCCACGCCCCTTCTAAACCCCTCCCCCCTCCCCCCCTCCCACCTTACCCCCAAGCCACGCCCCTTCTAAACCCATCCCCCTCCCCACGTTACCTCCAAGCCACGCCCCCTTCTAAACCCATCCCCCCTCCCCTCCTCCCTCCTCACGTTACCTCCAAGCCACGCCCCCTTCTAAACCCATCCCCCCTCCCTCCTCCCTCCTCACGTTACCTCCAAGCCACGCCCCCTTCTAAACCCATCCCCCCTCCCCTCCTCCCTCCTCACGTTACCTCCAAGCCACGCCCCCTTCTAAACCCATCCCCCTCCCCTCCTCCCTCCTCACGTTACCTCCAAGCCACGCCCCCTTCTAAACCCATCCCCCTCCCCTTAAGTGCTTATCCGGAAAACAGTGGCCCGCTTATATTCCTGGGTGGAGCTCACGGCTTCAAGGAGAGGATATAGAATCATAGAATCAAAGAGTTGGAAGAGACCTCTTGGGCCATCCAGTCCAACCCCATTCTGCCAAGAAGCAGGAATATTGCATTCAAATCATCCCTGACAGGAGAGAAGAGGGAGGGAAGAAAGAAGGAAGGAAGGAATGAGGTAGAGAAGGAAGAAAGGAGAGAAGAGGGAGGGAAAGAAAAAGGGGAAGGAAGGAAAGAGAGAAGAAGGAAAGAAAAAAGGGAAAGAAGGAAGAAGGAGGCGAAGGAAGGGGAAGATGTAGAGAAAGAGGGAGGGATGAAAGAGGACAGAGAGAAGGAAGAAAAGAGAGAGCAAGAAGAGAAAAAGGAAGAAGGAAAGAGGAGCGAAGGAAGGGGAAGAAGAGAAGAAAGAGGGAAGAAAGAAAGAAAGAGAAGGAAGAAAAGAGACAGAAGCAGAAGAGAAAGAAAAAGGGGGAAGGAAGGAAAGCGATAGAGAAGGAAGGAAGGAGAGAAGGAAAGACGGGAAGGAAGGAAGGAAACAGGGAGTGAAGGAAGGAGGGAAAGAAGGGGAGATAGGGGGAAGGTTGGCCACAGCAACGCGTGGCGGGTACAGCTAGTGTACATATACATGGCAAACATTCAATGCCATAGACACACAACATATACAGACAGACACACAGAGGCTATTTAACATTCCAGCTTTTTCATGAGGGTATTCTGGCCACCAGGGGAGCTGTCGCTTCATTTGTGACACTGATGGAATACTTCCTCATTCCTTGCATGCTTGCTGGAGATTTTTATGGTGTCGTAAGTTAGTTAAATTGGCCTCCCCACATAAGTGGTACATAAAAATTTCCTACTTGACAGATGCAACTTTCTTCTGGGTTGCAAAGGTCGACAGGGAGCTACACAATGGTCGGAAGCTCACTCCAACCCAGGCTGACTCATGACTTTTTGGTCCATAGTGATCTAATGCAGCTGACTCCCAGCCAGCTGTGCCAAAGTCTTGGTGCTAAAAGAACTACAAAAGAACCCCTTTGGTTCTCTCCTCCAGGGTCCAAGCCGTGGCTAAAGGGTGCCGGCCTGGCAGTACTGACCACTTGCATCATTCTCCTGGCTGCTGCTGTAGGACTTGGGATCCGATGTGAGTAGCTGCTGTGTATGTTTGGGGAGGGGGGAGCCCTGCCCAAATTCCGTTCTTCCTGGGGAGAAAGAACCCAATGAAATAGAGGTGGGGGCTGCTCATTGGGCACACAGATCTCACCAATATGTTTAGCTGACCTTTTGGGGTCAGGGCAAGTGGAAGTCTGGGGAGATGTCCAAAACCAGGCTCAACAAGATGACAAGCTGGCGCCAGGCATTTTTGCCAACCTTAGCCGTCTCGCCTGCCCAAAAGCCCTACAGCAGAAGGGCCAAAGCTCAGTGGGGTTGATATTGAGCTGCTTTTAGTGGGGTCTCCTCAAGAGAGAGGAACCCGAGGACCGCGCCAAAAAAAGGGCCCTGGATGCCTTGGTGAGGCCAGCAAAGCCAATCTCAAAATATTACAATTAATAATGCCTCATCAAGGTGGAAGAAGTTTCCAGCAACCGAAGTTTATTTGCGATTCAGCTGATACCGGATGCATTGCAGGGATCATTCCACCACAAGCATAGCAATACAAAGAATACAGGCGTATTTATAGCAAAAATACAAAGGAAAACATTTCAAATGTCCCTCCCGCCCTCTGCCCCTGGAGAGCCAATCAGCAGGCTTTCCTTACGAATCAGAAGCAGGCCAGGCGGGACAACCGCAGGCAAGGGGGGAATGATGGGATTACAGATTGCCAGCCAGAATGGAATGTGAGGCTTTGTCTTGGCTGGCAAGGTGTGACCGCTGTAAACAAAGGTTTTCCTGTTGGAAATGGTTTTGGGGGAAGAAAATATTTGGCCAGACAATGGACCTCAAAAGGTGGATCAACGTTGTCTTTGTGTGATTTAATCAGTCCTTTTCTTCCGGATTTCTGTTGACCCCCTCCCCTCGCTGGACATGCTCCGAGGGCTAGGGTTGGGAATCAACAGTATTGTTCCATGCTGATGAGTCAATCAGGGAGGGTTTGGGGAGAACAAAGGAGCCTCTCCCCAAGGCAACACAGTAATCTTCAGGTCACATCTTTATGGGGCAAGGGTCGAGGGGAAAGGGGGAACAGACCATATTTCAAAGCAAGATACATACATTCAAATCATAAGCATTTCATGGCAACAAAACCCCATCTTTGTCCCACATCCCAAGTATATTTAATAGAGGAACTGATTTTAATTGAAAACTTGGAGTCCCATGGTTCTGGAGAAAGTTTGTGGAAATGGAGGTGGCTTGCAGTTCAAAGCAAGCAAGCAGAAAGTCATTTTTCCTGGTTAAGGTTAGCAGATGGGCGCTGAGTTGACTGGTAACAAGATCCATAGCTTGGGGTTTTTTGGGAAACTATAACTCTCATGGAGGGCAGAAGTCCCAAGGTCCAGCCGTTTCCCAAAAGCCTCATGGGGTCCTTGTTATTGTCAGTGCTTTGGCAATGTGACCAAGACTTGATCCTTGCTGTGTAGTCTGGTGCCCTTGCCCTTGGCAGAACTATAAGTACTTGGGAGGGGGGGGATGCTCGGCATCAGGGTCCCTTACAGGCAGGTTCCTGAGGATCTGCTGTATGTCACCTTCCCCCTTTATCTTTCCCTCTTGCTGCCATGCCACGTCCTTGCAGACTGGCAGGTCTCTGGTCAGCTCCAGAAGGCATTGCAAAAGCACGCAGCTCAGAGCACTGCCCTGGCGCAGAGGATTGATCTCCAAGAAGGGAGCCTGACACAAAAGGAGGACCGGCTGCGCCAGGCCATGACCGAGCTCAGCTCCACCCGGGAGGCCCTTCGGAAGAGCCAGGAGGCCACCAGAAAGACCCAGGAGCAGCTGAGGGAGGCCAGCCACAGCCTGGGTACTTTGAAGCAGGAGAAGGACGAGACAGAGGCAGAGCTGCAGCAGGCCACGGAGGAGCTGGCCTCTGTCCGAGAGGCCCTTCGCAAGAGCCGAGAGTCCACTGAAAAGACTCAGGAGGAGCTGCAGGAGACAGAAGAGTTCCTAAGGGAAGCCAACCGCAACCTGGAGGCCGTGAAGTGGGAGAAGGACCGGATGGAGGCAAATCTGCTCCAGGCAACCATCTGCAGGCAGACAGGTACGTTCCTTGCTTCCTGGGCTGTGATTAGGTGATTAGTAGCTGCTCTTGGTGCCCCTTTCTCTTTTTTCTATTTTCCTTCCAGATGTGTTGGTTGCCCCCTTCCCAAGTGATGTCTCTGTCAAGCATGCTTCCTTGGCATTTCCAAGGGCTGGAGCCACTCTGTGCTTCCACATGGACACTCACATTGCATGCGTGCCCAGCAACAGGCAGTTACTGGTCCTGTGTCCATTGTGGTTTTGTCCAGCACTTTTAAAAGACATCTAGGTTACCGTGTCTCTTTGGTGGGGTGAGGACAGCCTAGAAAGGATGCAGATCTCTGAACCAGCTGAAGCTTCCAAACTATCTTCAAAGGCAGCCCCACGTAAAAGGTGTTGCAGTAGTCCAAATGAAATGTAACTAAGGCAGGGACTACCATGACCAGATCTGGCATCTCAAGGTATGAGTGCACCTGGTGTGCAAGTTTGAATTGTGCAAAGGCATTTGTGGCCACCACCCACACCTGAACTTCCAGGGTCAGCGATGAGTCCAGGATCACCCTCAGGCTGCGGACCTGTAACCCCATCCAGCACAGGCTGTATCCCCATACCTTGATCTGCCTTCCGACTGACCAGGAGCACCCCTATCTTGACAGGATTTAATTTCAATTGATTTGCTCTGGGAAGAGCAAATAAATTGACCCTGGAAGCAGATCCTGGGAGCTCAGGTGTGGGTGGTGGCCAGGAATGCCTTTGCACAATTCACACTTATTTATTTATTTATTTATTATTTATTTACTTTACTTGTATACCGCAGTTTCTCAGCCCAGCCGGCGACTCAACACGGTTTACAACAAGGGTAAAAAGTCAATCAACGATATACAATTTAAAACCATAAAAACATAGTATACAAATATTAACACCAGAATAACAACACAATACATCTCATAACCCGTTCAAACATCAAACAACAAATAGGTAGATATATAAATAGATAGATTGGTAGGTAGATAAATAAATAAATAGATAGGTTGGTAGATAAATAGATAAATAGGTAAATCTCATACCTTGAGATGCCAGATCCGGTCATGGTAGCAAATTGGTGGGAAAGGCCTCCTCCAGAGGAGTGGAGATGCTGAATGCCAGGAAGGTCTCTCCAGTTATCAGCAATAGAAAGACAGGCTGTGAATAGGAAGGGGTCGCTCTGTGCAATGTCTTATTTTGCAATGTGCAACGCGTCCACAGACTGCTGCCCAGGCGGCTGGACTCTCTTCGGTTGGAAATGCATCTGGGTGTCCCAACAGAAGAAGAACTGGCAGAAAAGCCGGGAAGACTGTGAAGGGAAGTCATCCCAGCTGCTTATGCCCAAAGAGCCCTGGGAGCAACGGGAGATGTGGCATGCCCTGGTGAGGATGGGACGAGCCAAAGAGGTAAGAGCTACCACATGTGTCCTACAACCTTGCTCCTCCTGGCTGATTCAACAGGTCAGGGAGGCCTGACAGAGTGGGTGAAGGCAGTGGTCAATGCCTCCTGAAACAAGGCAGAATCCCAACTTGCCAACAAAAAAGCCGTCCTTGAACCCTTCCATAACGGATAACTATCAGCCAGTGTCCAGCCTTCCCTTTTTGAGCCAGGTATGGGAGCATGTGGGGGCCTCCCAACTCCAGTGTTTCTGGATGAAGTGATTATCTAGATCCATTTCAGTCTGGTTTCAGGTCTGGTTATGGGACAAAGATACTTTGGGTTGCCTTGGTGGATGGCCTATGTAGCGAACTGGACAGTGTGTTGGGGGGGGGGTGTCCCAGTTGGTTCTCCTGGACCTTACAGTGTCTTTCGATACATTGGCCATGGTCTCCTCCTGGGCCACCTCACTGGGATGGGACTGGGAAGCATTGCTTTCCTTCCTGGTGGTGCCYGGGAAACCACATTTGAATCCCTGGCCACTGTTTTATGGGGCTCCTCGGGGCTTAGTCCTGCCTCCCATGCTGTTCAATATATAGATGAAATTGCTGGGAGAGGTCATCCAGAGTTTTGGGGTGCGGTGCCACCTGTATGCAGATGACACCCAACTCTCCTTCTCCTTCCCACCTAAAGCAAAGTTCTGGTGCTGAGCCTGTGTTTCTCTTCAGTAATGGACTGGATGAAGGCAAACAAACTGAAGCATAAGCTAGACAAGATGGATGTGCTCCTGGTCAGTTGAAAGACAAATTTGGAAATAGTGGTTCAGCCTATGCCAGATGGGGTCATGTTCCCCTAGGAAATACAGGTCTGCAGTTTGGGTGCTTGGCTCCTAGAGGAGCAGGATCCTGCAGTGGCCAGCCATGCCTTCTTTGCACACTTCAAACCTGTGCGCCAACTGCGCCCATTCTTCAAGATGCCAGATCTGGCCTCGGTGGTCCATCCCTTAGTTACATCCCATCTGTCAGCTCTAGCTTGCAGGAACATGAGAGAAGCCTCCCAGCAGGATGATATGATAACACATCCGGGCATCCCCTGGGCAACATCTCTGTAGACAGCCAATTCTCTCACACCAGAAGTGACTTGCAGTATGTTCTCAAGTTATTAAAAAAAAATCCCATTTGGATGGCTGTATTGCACTCTCTGTGGGACTGCCTTTGAAGAGTGTTCAGAAGTGCAGTGGCCAGGTTGCTAACCAGGGTTGTCTGTGAGGAGGGTGGCCCACCCACCCCTTCCTGCATTGGCTCCACTGGCTGCCAGGCTGTTTCTGGGTGTTTCTGGGGGCAATTCATAGGGCTTCCATCTCCACCAACACCTTCTTCTTCATCCTAGGATCTTCAGCACTCCAATGGATACTGGATTGGACTTTATGAAGCTTACAGGGAGAAGGACTGGATTTTAGTGTGGGTTGATGGGTCACACTATGAGGGGTAAGTGCATAGGGTTGTTCAGCTCGTTTGGTGCCAAAGTAAGGATGGGATCACTGCCAATCTTCTCTCCATTTTTCCCTATTGAAGTTCATTTTGCAAATATGATCAGTGTGTCCTCAATTCCAGCCCCCCCCCCCCCCCCCCCCCCCCCCCCCCCCCCCCCCCCCCCCCCGCCGGTGGCACCCCAGCAGGTCCACCCTTGCGCCTTTCTCACACATACGGTATTTGAAGAACATAAAGAGATACATTGCGAGGCTGTAACTATCCAAGATCAGGATGTTATAAACAGCTCTGCAACCATTCATTGCAAGGTGACATAAAATACAACCACTGCAGTAGAGTTTGGAGGGAAGGGACATCTATTTAGTCACCCTTGTTACAGTAAGTCATAGCAGGATCAAGTATGAGTTAAAGAAAAATCTTATGATGTTAGTTATTATGTGCAGCTGGTAATGTAGGTCAGCCAGCATGTTTGGGCCACACCCAGTGGGGTATAACTGTATGGATTTTAGAATACAGTTTGGAGAAGCAATACGCTACTCTGAGGAGGAGACTTGGCTGAAATCTACTTCTGCACAACAACCCTTTGGGAGGGTTTTGATGTAGCTTTCATTCTCATTCATTCATCCTCATACTTACAATGACCTCTCCCAAAGAGCTGATTGATTCCTTCATAGAAGCGATGGGTGGCAGTTGCAGCATTGAAAAGCCCCCTCCATGTTATTTTCAGGTGTATCTCCATCCATGTTTCATGTCACGTGTTTTCCACATTCATTTCAGTTCTTGGTCCATAACAGACAGTTCCTCCCAGGTCCCTGGTAAGCCCTTTTGTGCCAGTCAGGAGGTATCCTTTGTTCTTTCCAATTCAATTTATCATTTTGAAGAGTTAATCTCCCAGGTGCTGGTACCTTCTCTTTGTACCAATGTTAGAGACTAGGCCTGGGTAACAACGGAAAAAAATGTTTCTAAAATCGATTCATTTTTTGGGGGTTTTTGCGTTTCGTTATTTAAAATAATTACAAAATTTTCCTTTTAAAAAGTTCGATATTTACGAAATTTCGTAAATGTGAAAAAAATACAAAACATTAACGAATCGATTTCCGAAACAATAACGAATCGATTCGTTAATGGAGGACGCGACCGCGAAATACGCTAAAAAACCTCCAAAAACTTCTGAAGCTTCCCTCTCCCTCTGTTGTTGACTGTTGGTGTGATATTATATTTTTTTTCACTAATTAAACAAAAAACTTGCCCCAGACATGCGGAAATAATAACGAAACGACCTCAGAACAATAACGAAACGAATACAATAACGAAATACGAAGCATTTACAAAACGTGTTTAAAAATTCGTTTTTTTAAAAAATTGCTCCAGAATGGTTCGTTATCGTTTTGTAATTGAAAAAAATAACGAATTATTAACGAATTACGAATTAACGAAACGAAACCGCCCAGCCCTATTAGAGACCCTAAATTGGGTCTTCTTAGGTCCACATCATGGGAGCACGTAAGGAAGGAGACAGTCCCAAAAAAAAAAAAGATCAAAAAACAAGGTTTATTTTAGTTTCTTTATGAAGAAGATGGACAGCCTGGCAGCATACGCAGATGCTACCCTTCAAGTGACTGCCGCACCCCTCTTGGCTTTTGTACACCGTTATATACCCTCAAGTAAACAAGAACATTTTTTTGGTCATGGAAAGTATTCTCTTTCTAGCACCTCTCCCTTGACCTTTTGATGGAATACCTTCTTGTACCTGCAGACTCTGCGCTTAACCACAATCTTTGGCTTAACCACAACACAACTACTTCCTATGTAGGCTTGAATTTTGTATGACCTCTACATTTCACATCTTGTTTCTTAAAAACATTTTCTTCCATGTTGCTCTTTTTCTACAGAGAAAGGGTATATTTCTCTTTTGCTATTAATTTCATTCAAAGCCCCTTGTTTAGCATTTGCAAATTTCACTCAAAGACTCTTTCACCAATAGGGAGGTATTCTTCTGTTTTCAATTCATCAGGTTGAAAAGTTAATTTTATGGATCAACTGTTCCTTGCTTGGATGGCCAAAAGTCTCCATGCCATCGTGCATTTCGGTTCTCCACTTACTCTATATAGGTAAAGATTTCTCCTGACATTAAGTCTAGTCGTGTACGACTCTGGTGGTCTTTTCCATTTCCAAGTCTAAGAGCCAGAGTTGTCCATAGATACCTCCAAGGCCATGTGGCCACTGGCATGACGGCATGGAGCACCCTTACCTTTCTGCAGAAGCGGCACCCATTGATCTACTCATATTTTCTTGTTTTTGAACTGCTAGGTTGGTAGAAGCTGGGCCTAACAGGGGGAGCTCACCCTTTTCCCCAGATTTGAACTGCCAACCTTTGGGTCAGCAAGTTCAGCAGCTCAGCAGTTTAATTGCTGCATCACCAAGGGCCCCATATATATATATATATACAAGATATATATATATCTTGTTTTTTTCATGATTCTTCATCTTTTCAGCTCAAACACTCATATTTATCCAAGATTCTCCTTTCCTTTCCAGAACCGAGCGGCTCATGCAACATGGCTATTTCTGCTTAAAATTGAACCAGGGGAAGCTGGTGCAAGAGAGGTGTACCCCCTCTCGTGGCTACATCTGTGAGAGAGCTGCCAGGCCCGCTTACCTACAGCAAGCGCCTGGCCAAAATGCCTAAGAGGAAACACCCCAGCAAGAACAACACCCTTCCGTGCTCCAAGATGCAGGGTTTTTCATCACCCCCACACTTCCAACAACCGTCCCACTCTGGGTCTCTTTTTGGAGAGATAAAGCGAGGCCAAAATAACAACAGGAACAACACCCAGAGCAAGAGTAGCACCAAGGGAGAGGGAATTTGCCCATATCGTCCCCAAGCCCAGCCCAACCATTTGGCCTAAGAGCAACCCAGCAAGCCGTGCAGGTCCACTCTTCCCTTCCAGGTGCCCGGTCCTGCTGCCCCTTCTTACCCCTGTGATCGGAGGTGACCAACCCAACTCTGTAAAAGATAGCTCAAAATCAGGGAATTCATAGTTTTGCCAAGGACACTGGGCTGGAAAGACCTCATAATCCCCTATCCAGGGGCAGCTCAACCCATTACGCAAAGTAAGCATTTGCAGTATAGTTGATTTTGCCCAGGGGCGCTCTTGAGGCGCTCTTGGGGGAAAATAGACCTTGACATATGCGAGTTACTGGGATGTATAGTTCACCTAAAATCAAAGAGCATTCTGAACTCCACCAATGATGGAATTGAACCAAATATGGCACACAGAACTCCCATGAATACAAGGAGTTGGAAGAGACCTCCTGGGCCATCCAGTCCAACCCCCTGCCAAGAAGCAGGAATATTGCATTCAAAGCACCCCTGACAGATGGCCATCCAGCCTCTGTTTAAAAGCCTTCAAAGAAGGACACTCCACCACACTCCGGGGCAGAGAGTTCCACTGCTGAAGAGCTCTCACAGTCAGGAAGTTCTTCCTAATGTTCAGATGGAATCTCCTCTCTTGTAGTTTGAAGCATCCTAGTCTCCAGGGAAGCAGAAAGGAAGCTTGCTCCCTCCTCCTCCCTGTGGCTTCCTCTCACATATTTATATATGGCGATCATATCTCCTCTCAGCCTTCTCTTCTTCAGGCTAAACATGCCCAGCTCCTTAAGCCGCTCCTCATAGGGCTTGTTCTCCAGACCTTTGATCATTTTAGTCGCCCTCCTCTGGACACATTCCAGCTTGTCAATATCTCTCTTGAATTGTGGTGCCCAGAATTGGACACAATATTCCAGGTGTGGTCTAACCAAAGCAGAATAGAGGGGTAGCATTACTTCCCTGGACCTAGACACTATGCTCCTATTGATGCAGGCCAAAATCCCATTGCCTTTTTTTGCCGCCGCCAATACAATACAATCAAAAAGCATTCTGAACTCCACCAATGATGGAATTGAACCAAATATGGCACACAGAACTCCCATGACGAACTGAAAATATATATCAGTGATTGGGTTTTTTTTTTTGGGGGGGGGGGGGGGCAAAATACTCTTTGCTTACCATTGAAAATTACCTAGGGCCGCCTCTGCCCCTATCTCTCCCCCATGTAGGAACCTAAGGCTTTTTCCATGGCCCCATGGCCGCACATGGCAACACTCCTGTAACCCAAACTTGGATTTCTTTTTTATGAATGAAACTCCTGTTTTATGAATGGACTCTGGCTACTCAGTGCTCCTAGGGCCTTCTATACACCCCTATTAACTCTTATGAACTCTTTTTTTTAAATAATAATTTTTATTAAGTGTTTTCCAAAGGTTACAGGGAAAGTGGGGGAATAATTACAAGGAGACAGGACAGTAGGAAAGGATAGTGGCACATAACATGCCAGGTTTGTATGGAAATGTGACTCTATTTCCTGTGCTGGTCAATGACCGAAATATATTTTTTTTTGTGGCACATAAGAGGGGGTGATGGAGAGGGGGGAAAATGGTGATCCAAAAATCATGGGGAAAAAGAAAAAAAAGGAAAAAAAGATTAAAAAAATTAAAAAAATAAATTTCTATGACTTCCTGGGCATCGTCTTGTGAGGTGTCTTCCTTTTCAAAGAATCAAAGAGTTGGAAGAGACCTCCTGGGCCATCATCCAGTCCAACCCCATTCTGCCAAGAAGCAGGAATATTGCATTCAAAGAACCCCTGACAGATGGCCATCCAGCTTCCAACCCCATTCTGCCAAGAAGCAGGAATATTGCATTCAAATAACCCCTGACAGATGGCCATCCAGCCTCTGTTTAAAAGCTTCCAAAGAAGGAGCCTCCACCACACTCCGGGGCAGAGAGTTCCACTTGCTGAACGGCTCTCACAGTCAGGAAGTTCTTCCTCATGTTCAGATGGAATCTCCTTTCTTGAAGTTTGAAGCCATTGTTCCTTGTCCTAGTCTCCAAGGAAGCAGAAAACAAGCTTGCTCCCTCCTCCCTGTGGCTTCCTCTCATGTATTTATACATGGCTATCATATCTCCTCCAAGCCTTCTCTTCTTCAGGCTAAACATGCCCAGCTCCTTAAGCCGCTCCTCATAGGGCTTGTTCTCCAGACCCTTGATCATTTTAGTCGCCCTCCTCTGGACACATTCCAGCTTGTCAATATCTCTCTTGAATTGTGGTGCCCAGAATTGGACACAATATTCCAGGTGTGGTCTAACCAAAGCGGAATAGAGGGATAGCATTACTTCCCTGGATCTAGACACTATGCTTCTATTGATGCAGGCCAAAATCCCATTGGCTTTTTTTGCCGCCACATCACATTGTTGGCTCATGTTTAACTTGTTGTCCACGAGGACTCCAAGATCTTTTTCACACGTACTGCTCTCGAGCCAGGCATTGTCCCCCCTTTTGTATCTTTGCATTTCGTTTTTCCTGCCAAAGTGGAGTATCTTGCATTTGTCACTGTTGAACTTCATTTTGTTAATTTTGGCCCATGGAAAAAACAAAATGCAGAAAAAACGAAATGCAAAGATACAGAATGGGGGACAATGCCTGGCTCGAGAGCAGTACGTTTTTCGATCTTTTCTTCTTCTTTGTTTATACTCTTTCTCTCCTTCCCTCAATTGAGGTCCAGTCCATTATTTTTAAATTATTGTCCTATATTTTTTCTTCTTTAAATATTCTGTTATTTTTCCCCAGTTTGTTTCTTTTATTGGTGTTTCTTTATATCTAGATACTAAGAATGTGAGTCTGTCCATATTTCTTATATCAAGTATTTTTTGTATCCATTCTTCTATATCTGGTATTTTCTCTGATTTCCATAGCTTGGCGTAGCATATTCTAGCCGCAATTGTTACTAAAAATAATAATTTGTCCGTGTTTTTGTCCATTTTTGTTTTTGAGATGCCCAATAAAAATAATTCTGGTTTTTGAGATATTTTCATTCCTAACATTTCCTGCATTGTCTCTTTTATCTTCTTCCAGTATGTTCTTGTCTTTTCGCAGGTCCACCACATATGGTAGAAAGTTCCCTCTTTTTTCCTGCAATTCCAGCATTCGGTATTTACGTTTTTATAACATTTTCCTAATTTATGTGGTGTTAAGTACCATCTGTAAGAGATTTTAATCCAGTTTTCCTTTAGGTCGGTAGCGTATAAGTACTTTATTTTCTTAGTCCATATTTCTTTCCACTCCTCTTTCTTTACTTTCCTTCCTATATTTTCGTTCCATCTCTTCATATAGCCGTTTTCTTCTGTTCTTTCTCTATTCCATTCTTGTAGCTTTTTATATATCTTCGTTATTATCTTTTTTCCCGTTTGTATTATCGAGTCCCAGAAAGTCTTTTGTTCTGCAAATCCTATTTTTTCGTCTTTTTTGAAGCATTCCCAAATTTGTCTATACTGAAACCATGAAATTTTATCATTTGTTTCTTTCATTTCTTGTTGCGATTTTAAGGTTAATCTTCCTTTTTCTTTTTCTTTTTAATAAGTCTCTATATTTTGGCCAACTCTTATGAACTCTTATGGACTTTCCATGAACTTTCATGAACTTTATAGGAACTTTTATAAACTCGTGCCAAACTTTATGAACTTTTATGGACTTTGGGGGATTGACGTGACTTCCCCTTAGACCAGGGGTAGGGAACCTTTGGCCCTCCAGCTGTGGTGGACTTCAACTCCCACAATTCCTTGAGGCTCGGCATTGGGCCAAGGTAAGCCTTTGGGGCGAATGCCGAGCCTCAAGGAATTGTGGGAGTTGAAGTCCACCACAGCTGGAGGGCCAAAGGTTCCCTACCCCTGCCTTAGACCCTGCATGATTCCCCCTCTTCCTATGAACTCTGTGTATGCTCCCCTGCCCCATTCCTTATTCCCTATATGCATGTATGCCTCTATGAAAAATATGAAGGAAAGCAGCCTGTTTCATAAAGGCCAGCAACTCATGGCTCTTGGAGCTTCCAAACTTCCTGAGCCAATAATTCCCTAATGAAGGATTTCACCAAGACCATTTGCATGCACAATAAGTAAATGGCTCTTATCAGATCAGACCTCGGAGGGCTGAAAGCCAGGTCATCTGGAATGATAGTGTCTATGGACATTTTGGATCACCCAACACAAAGGACATCTCTCCATCTACGAGGAACTGGAGATTTGCAACCGCCTTCCTGCTGTGCCATATCTTGATCTCCCGAAACTAGCATCAACTTCATCAATGAACTCCATACTGCAGGATAGTATGACAAAAGGACCTAGCCTCTTGGGCCTAGACAAGAATCAGAGAATCAGAGAATCCAGAGAATCAGACAATAACCTAGGCCAGGCTTGAGAGGTAAAAAGTTATTGCCCAGCCATTTAGCAAACACCGGCCATTCTTAATCCAGCCAACTAGACATTTTTTCATTGTTTCCTTGTTGCCCGCCTCCCTTCCACCTCATTGGCTGAGCGGCCAAAAGCAGTGCCAGAGCCGCCGTTTGCTCTCCTGCTGGCTTGCTGATGTCACAGCCAATCATAACATAGCCAGCTCATGGGGGGTGGGCATGAGAACTTTTGAATCTGAAGGCTATAAATATTGGGTTTCTTTGCCCAGTGGGTATGTTGGTTTCTGGGCAAATGATTGCGGTCATCATCCATTCCAGGTGGAATGAAATAAACATCTCAGTGGCTTTCCTTCAACTTGGTGAGACTTTATATGGGAAAAATAGGGGAAAATACAGGGTTAGTCAAAA